TCATGAGGATTACCTCACGGTTGCCTTCGGCCCAAAGGCGACTATTTTTGACTTGGTCTTTTGGAATTCGAGCCCGAGTCTTTTTCTTTTGAGACTTGCGTTTGTTTCTGGTTCCTGCGCCTAAGATCATATTTTATTCCTGTCTAACTCGGTTTTGTTAGCTGCGGGTCTGGGAGAGAAAGACGGCCACGGCACGGACCTTGTTGATTCGTTTCGGTGCGGATGGCGATGAAGCGAAGAGCAAGAAAGCACGTTAATATAGTCGAGGTACTGACGAGTCGGTAGTAAACGGCTGGGGCTTGGTGTGGCCCTTTGATCCCTTTTTAGTGAACTCATCAGGTGAAGTTCTCTTTATATATATGACCGCGATAATTTTTTTTTTTTTCTAATTCTTCATACAGGGTCGCCAGGGGCCTGGCGGGTGGAAATAACGGTCTCATAACTTTCAAGATCAATTCTAGGCTCTCGATTATTCGCTCTGTTAACGCAGATACGGTGCCAACTGCTCGTCCGATACCTCATCTCAGATATTGATGGTTCTTGCGGTGCGATACGGCGTACCAACGGTGAATACGCTAGAAATGGACTATCAGTTAAGTACTAGGTCTATTACTTCGACACAGACCTGCGCCAAGAGCCGGACATATTCGTTTTTCTTCGCCTGGTCCTCCGCTGACAAGTTTTCAGCTATGTCGATGCCCTTCGGATCCCAGTCCCTCAAGACCGGATCGACATCGTGTGGAGTGCGCCAATCGATCCTGCCCATATATTCACGCATGATTCGCTTCAAAAGGTCCCGTTCGGCACGTCGGCTTAGCTCTCGCAACGTAGCATATTCATCCAAATATTTTGCGAGGACGACTTGGCGGGTACCCTCGGACCATCGACGGAGAGTCCTCTCGACTTGCTGGTCTGCGGATGACATGACTTTTCGAGGTTAGTGGCAGGCGATGTCGAACACAGTGACACGTACTGGAGTGTTAGACAGATATTTGGATGAGATTCAACGCAATGACGAACGTCGAAAAAGTGACGGAGAAACCTGAGTAGTGGTGAGCGGCTTTATAACCGTTTCGACTTGAATTGATTTTAAAAAATAGTTTTTTTATGAATGGCGCATGAACGCGGGGCGGGGGATGATTTCGCTTCTCCAAGCCCTATCCTTGGATCGAGATGAGATCTTGATTACAAACACATTGCTGGACATATAAAAGGTGTTGTGTTTGTGTCTGTTTGCTGCATTCCTCTTTGCTTCTGCCCACCAGCACAATGACCACCCATCCTAGCCCCAATACCACAGGAGCCAACGCGCAACCCCTTTGTTCGTCTCATTCCCTCGACTCTTGTCTCCTTCTCTGACTCTTCCTTCATTAGCGGGCATTGCTGCTTTGCAGCAACTCTTGAATATCTTGGCTGCATGCCTCGACACTGCACCCAGTACGTCTTGCGGCGAACCCTAATCGCGTCTGATGAATGTCAGATGCTCCGATCCGCGCCATCGTCGCAGACACTTGTGGCCTCAGCGGTACGGTGCATCATCACCTTGAAAGCATTCTAACCCCACCTCCTGTAGTCGACGCACTCGTTCAGCTGGAGGCGATGCTCGAAAACCTCACTACTCCTTCGGCCGAAGACTCCCCATCTCCTCCGTCTGTGTCTTCGGTCACCGTGTCTGATGACGAGGAGGATGAGGTGGACGACATCGATCGTGACAGCATCCCCAACGAAGATGGTCTTTTGCCTGGACGCCCAGGTCAGCCGTTCCGCTCTGGTGCCCCCTGGACTGTTGGTCGCCTGTACTCTGTTGTTCCCGAAGGCCGCCTTCAGGAGGCCTCCAAGATCGGCATCCCCACCGAAGGCCTCCGCTGGTATGTCGTCTCCACCGGTCACAAGGTTGGCATCACCTCTGTCAACGCACTCGCCATGTCCTGTGTGACTGGGGTTACTCGCAACGCGCGTGGCAGGGATTTTCCACTCAGTCCGCAGCCATCGAGCACTTCAATGCATTGCTCGATCTGCAGAGCGTCGTTGTAGTTCCCTCGAACTACTAAAAGCAGGTATGTGATCTAGTTTGAGGGCGTGTGCCTCGGCTCATCCACCTTCAAGGGACTCGCGCCACTGGCATAAGCATCCTCGTACATAGTGTTGTATGTATGTCGTATATACTGTCTATGCGTGGTGAATCAAACTTGTCTGAATTCTCACTGGCCATTACGGAATTTCACGTGACACGTGGCATGTGGCACGTGGACCTTGCTGGCGTAACAAGAAGTCAAACATCAAGCCATGGTCCTTCGCGAGCACTTGTCCCTATTTGCGCCGCAAAAAACTTTATCGATCAGCGAAAATCGATAGCGCTCCGCGGTCCGCGGATCGTCCGAGTCCCCCGCGCCAATAACTCCCCCTTCATGCCAATAACTCTCCTCTTCGCTGCCAAACAGCTCGCATCGCCCAAAACTCGCCCCGTAACTTCCCACCGCTGAAAACTCGCCTCGTCAAAAACTCGACTTGATAAAACTTGCCCTACTGTACCAAAAGAACCTGCTTGATGAAAGTAATATCTTTTTTCAAACCTTGGTCGTTGCGGCTCAACGTGCGACTTTACCGGTCCTTGGCCAGGAGGTGAGAGGTAACTAAGCGCTTCTTCAGCTAAGTGAAGAGTCTGCATTTCGTCAAGTTGCGCTGGCTCGGGGAACACCCTTGTCTACTCGGAGAACCGTCCCGGAGCAAAACAGGTTCATTCTCGCCCAACTCGCGTAGATGTAGGTACTCATTAGCAGTGTCGCAGCAGGCCCTGAAGTACTGCCTGACCGTTGGGGTTCAACGCGGGTTTCATTGCTAAGCACTCCGAATCGAGGGGGGTAGCCAAAGACAGCAGCTCAGGGCTGGAGTCTAGAACTATCAGTACATGGATACGCGCTTGGTCCATGTTAACTTCTTTCATGTTTCGCAATGCCTCAAGTGAATAATTCAACCTCTGGTTTTGATTGGCTAACATGAGCAATGAACCTAAGCTAACCGAATATTGCTCCTCTCGGCGGCATTCTGTGGTGTCCTCCCCAATGCTTGATCCAGACCGTTGTGGAATCGCAAACACATGCACATCCTGGGCATGACTTCTCTGTACAGAGTGAGAATTTACATGGTCCATCGATTCCAGGTGGTGGTTGGTCGAGATTCCACTTTATGCGATTGAACTCAGCATGTTCGTCGATCCAAGTGCTGATTCGAGAACTACGAGCACCGAGACTGTAGAAGGAACCTTGAGTCTGGCTCGAACGGGATGACGATGGCCACTGCTTGGTAACAGCCTTGCGATGAGTGTTCAGCTTCTCGAAAATATGAGACTTTGGGCCCTGCGATTTTGAGGCGAGGGGAGAAGGTGACTGATCTCCCTCGTCTTCAGACTCGCTCGAATGGAAATCGAAGCTGAGGGGAGAATTTGAAGGCGACTTCCAACTGTCCTGGTCTGAATCAGAGTTCACGTCTGGCTCAGATGCAGCCGGCAGTTTTTGAGTCATAAGAGGCCCAGCAGCAGCACACCCGCGCCTAGAAGGGATTGTTAGCGCCGGCAGAGGGGGTAACTTGGACGAGTCCAGTGCACGCCCGGGCGCGCTTGAAGGGAAGTTCTGCTGGTGACGCGATGCTGCGTTTGGAGGCCGGGCCGACACAGCAAGTGCCGGTATTCAAGAACCGCCAGGTGCCCTCGAACGGGAGTCCTGCTGCCAATGCGCTGGCTGTTTCGTAGCCGCCGCTTCAGGAGCAGAGATTTTAGTAGCATCCGTTTTGCGTGGGGTGGATGGGTCATAAACCGATGGTAGAAGTTTCAAAGCGCGAGCCTGAGTTTGAGTCACGGTCTCTGTATCGACCTTGCTTTCGCCAGCAGCCGTTCTACGTTCAAGTTTGGCTTCGCAAGCATTTTGAAGGCGGTCCGGGTGTCTAAAAAGCGAATTAAGACCCGTGTATAGATCGCAGCGATATACTTACTCTCGTCGATATTTGGCGGCAGCTGTTCGTGCCTTGAGTTGGTACACTTTGACTGCAGCAGCATTGCTATCTTTTATTTTCCGGCGCTTGCTGAAGAGGGTTCAGAAGCGGTATCGGCGTGCACTCGGGAAGAGGAAATACATTCGCATCCGGTTCCTAGCAGTGTCCCGACGTTCCTTGTGTTTTCTGTCAAGGAGTTAGTATGAGAATGAGTATGGTCTTGAGGAGAAAACCTACTTGGCCTCATAGAGCACTTGGCTTCGACGGCGGCGCTCTATGCATTCTTCAGGCGGCAATTTGTTGCGGCCCATACTAAGTCAAGGTGGAAGTCAAGAGCAAGGATGAAATCAATGAGATGAGATCAGCAGTAGGAGTTGGGGGTCAACGCTGCGTCCGGCGAGTCGTCGTCGTCGTCGAAGACCCATACATACCGCTCCCAAGTCGGGCGTGCCTTTGAAAGAAGAAGGCTGGTTGGTGGAGATATTAAGTGGTAATGTGAGCAATAGTAAGGCGAAGGCGGTAGGTTCCAAGTGGAAAGTGGAAAGTATGATTCGGATTGTCATTAATCGTGACTTGTTCCCGACACTTATTTCCGAGATTTGTGTGTATTGTAGCAGTATGCCTCCGCCTAAAAATCTGAAAATATTTCCAGACGTGGCTACTGGCGCGTTCTATCCATCCTCCAAAGATCTCTCCCTAGAAAAAAATCCTAGAACAATCTATGAGATTAAAAGTCTTGTAAAAATGAAAGTTTCCCCAATCTGAATGCTCATATAGGTAGTAAATTTTGAGAGCTGTAGGTGTGGTTGCGCAATGGCAAAACCACATTCTTCATCAGTTCCCGACAGTTATCATCAGTTCCCGATACTTATGCATCAGTTCCCGACACTTATGCATCAGTTCCCGACACTTATGCATCAGTTCCCGATACTTATGCATCAGTTCCCGACATTTATGCATCAGTTCCCGACACTTATGCATCAGTTCCCGACACTTATGTATTCGTTCGAATATCATGCTTCAAGTTCCGCTATACTAGCCAAAGTCACTAATTCATCTAAAACTCGTCGTTCGCTCGTGGCCCACTTTAGCTTAAAGTGTGTCAACACCTGGGTGCACTGGGCTGCAGCTCGGTAAGCATATGCTTGTAAACCGTTCTTCAGCTCCGCTTCCACATCCTCCCGGCGCTCCGCCTGTTGTTGCCACCATTTCGCTTGCCATTCGAGGTAACGAAGCGTGCGTCGCATTTCTTCTTCCAAAAGCATCACCTCCTCATTCCACCGTGTCTTTCGTGCCATTGCCCGACACCACTCAACGCGCATTGCTGTATTTTGTCAGCGAGGTTTCAGAGGCATCAAAGGGACCTACAGGTATGAAGCTGCTCCTCCTGGTCATCGAAAGCACCCGGCGCAGTCCAAATCCACGACATAACGCGCCGCGAGCTACTGGGCATATTACGAGGGACTCGCATGCCACGTGTGACACTGATTCTGGCCAGCTTTTGTTGTGCCTCCAAGTCTTTCTCTTCGCCATCTGCAGGCAAACAGACATCCTCCGCTTTCAGGGCACGAAATGCCGGATACTTTTGCGCAACACCCAACCCTACCAATGCCGAATGACCACGTTTGTAACGCAACGAAATCGCATCGGCTTTCTGAGTGATGGACTGCAAAAGTTTGGCCGCTTTCGTTGTCTGGTTTTGCCCCGTAACATTGGCGTTGCGATAGGCGATCAACCACCGCTTCCCATGCAGCTTGAAGCGTAGTTCGCTGAGAGCATTTTGGCATTGTGAGACGCGTAATCTCTCCTCGATGTCGACAACAGCCAGCAACACAGCCTTGAACAGCGCCGGTAGTAGGATGGGTCGGCATTTGGCTTGGAAGAAATAGGGTGATATCTTCAGGGAGTGGCGGCGGGGCATTTGAGTCACGCCTCATTTCAGCTTCAGCGAGAAACGCAGCGGCACCGGGCATGTATACCAATTGCAGTTCCCGAAAACGCCCGAGCTTTCTGAGCAGAGAGAGGCGAAGCTCGTCAAGTTTTGCTTCGCGGTCGGTAGTCAGAATTGAGTGTTGTTGCGTAAATTCTTTGATGCGAGCTCTGCCAACAAAATGAGTATTGGTGCTCCAGAGAAGTCATAACCAGTGATGACTAACTGTGCGTCCTCGATTTGTATCCCAGCGGAGATGAAGGCAGTAGCACTACCACCGCTGACAAATGCCCGCCCTTCGACATCCTGTTGTCGTTCCTCCCGTTGGAGATCTAGTCGGATTTGCGCTTCTGTTGGGAAATCTGGGGCACAAATGAATACTACGTGTAGAAAGCCAAAAGTCATACCTTTCGTTGGCAACTCAAATGGATTCGGACGCTTGTCATCATCTTCCCATTCACGAATCTCACGCTTCCATTGCTGTTGAAGCTCCGGCGAAATGCCATCGCTGACGGCGTGGAAAGCTTCAACCTGACGGGCCCTTTCGTCTCGAGCAACGACGAGGCGACGCTGTAATGTTGCTCCTAGGATGAATCAGGAGCTGCTTAAACAGGTAAGTACGGAAACGCACCCAAAGTCATGTTTTTGATGAAATTGTGATTATCGATGTGATCCTCCAACACATCGGCCCGATTACCCAGCCCCATCTTCTGTTGAGCGCGGAGGGAGTCCGGGACGAGACGGCTGCGTCGGAGCGGTCAATGCCAAAGGGCAGTGTAGCTACGACATGATACATACCTGCGTCGGAGCGGTCAATGCCAAAGGGCAGTGACCGTCACGACACAGGACTTATCCTACTCGGTGTGACGGTACGTGAAGTATTGCTCTCAACACTCCCCCTCAATATGGCACGTTCTGTCATCGTAGTCCAAGCATGAGGGAGGCCTTTTGCATTTTCTCGCGACCCAGAGCCTTGGTTAACGCGTCGGCAACCATGTTGAGTGTACTGCAATGTTCGATACTGATGTGTTTGGCAGCTACCGTGTCCCGAAGCCAGTAGAAGCGCAGGTCGAGATGTTTCACGCGCCCATGGTGATCTGGGTTTCGTGCGACGGAAATGGCGGATTGATTGTCGACAAACAGAGTCGAGGTGCTGATGTGGCTGTATCCTAGCTCCGTGAGTAGATTTCGTAGCCAGAGTATCTCTTGTCCTGCTGAGACGGCTGCAACATATTCAGCTTCCGTCGTTGATAGTGTGACGAATGGTTGGAGCTTGCTCGACCAACTGATTGCGCCGCCCCAACCATTACTACATAGGCAGATGTAGATCGTCCGTTGTCGGGGTTTCCGCCATGGTCTGGCGTCACTGTACGTCGTGAAAATTTCGTCTTGCTTGTTGAGTGTTCCGCCAAAGGTTAGTTTGTGATTTATTGTACCCTTCAGGTAGCGCAGTACATGTTTTAGTGCCCGCCAGTGCACCCGGCCAGGGTTGTGCGAGAATCGTGAGAGAACACCGACAGCGTAAGCTATGTCAGGGCGGGTGGCGACAGCGAGGTAAGCGAGGGCGCCGAGGATATGGAGGTAAGGGACCTTCTTCATTTCCTGTTGATCTTCGGGCGTCGTTGGGCAATCGTCGGCGGTGAGCTTAGTTTTCGCATCCATTGGTGTAGTGACTGAGTTGCAGCCTGACATCCCAGCTCGTTCGAGGATGTCGCGGATGTATTGATCTTGGGACATTGAAATAGTCCGATTTTCTCGGTTGCGCTCGATTTTGACTCCGAGTAGCCAGCTCGACGGTCCTAAATCGCGCAGTTTGAAGTGTTTGCTGAGCTCATCAATGAATGCTCGTGCCTCGGAGGTGGATTTTGCAGCAATTGTCATGTCGTCTATGAATACTGGCACTATGATGCGCGTGTGCCCGATTTGTTGGTGGTGTAGACCCATACACTGTGCTCGCATCGAACACGTGTGAAACCCATTGAGGTTAATACTTCGTGGAGCTTCAGATGCCATTGATGACCGGCTTGTCTGAGACCGTAGAGCGACTTGAGCAGCTTGAGCGCTTTTCCAGCGGGTACGAATGTTGAGCCCTCTGGTAGCTCCATGTAAACGTCTTCCGACAGTTCACCATAGAGGTACGCAGACGATATGTCGACACTCCAGAGCTCTAGATCTTCCATGGCTGCCAGAGCTAGAATGAGCCGAAGCGTGGCCCATTTTGGTGTTGGCGCAAAAGTTTCCGAAAAGTCAAAGCCAGGGCGTTGCGAGTAGCCTTTTGCAACGAGGCGCGCTTTAAAGCGCTCGATAGATCCATCATCGTTGAGCTTTACGCGAAAGACCCAGCGGTTTCCAATAGCTCTTCGCCCTTTTGGTAGCTCGACCAGCTCAAACACGCCCATTTCGATCAGCGACTCTAGCTCGCGGAGAGGCTGCAGCGTGCCATTTTTCAGCTTCTTCCTTCGGCAGATTCATGGCCTCTTCGTATGTGTTTTGGACCGGCCAGAGTGGTCGACAAGGCCCTTTGTTGTGCCTTCTCGTAGGCGATTTGAAATGCCTCTTGAACCGTCAGGTAAGTCGTGTGGGCATTTGTGGTCCGAGCGCTGGCGTCCTGATTCGCATCCCAGTGGCCTTGATAGTTCCATGGCGCTTTCTGGTTTTGTTCGGTGTTGCGGGACCATTGTCCTTTTCCAAGACCTGGGGGCATTTGGTAGAGCCCATGCTTGCCGGCTGCTTGAAATTGTTGTGGTGCTAGCCTCTTGGGTGGTGCTGGCGGAAGCGGTGTTATTGTCTCTCGCTCCGATTCAGTTCCGAAATCGGATGGTAGGTCAGTCAGTGACGAGTGGGTGACAATAGCGGGGAGCGGATGTCTGGTAGCAGCGGCGATTCTGGTGGTGGTTGTGGGAGTATTTGTGTCAGATGGTTCGTTTTGAGGCATCTGGTCAGGGCTGTTACCGTCAGGCGTGTGTATGGGAGGCTTTGTGTTTCTGACGCCAGAGCGCTTCATATCGTCGAATCCAGGTACTACTCCCCCTCGATGTGGAGCGTCGTCAGCTGGCTTCGCAGTTGCCGAAGGGTTCTCGTGCTTTGGCTGGGTTGGATGCGGTTGTGGCGGCTGAAGCGCGTTTGGGTTCTGAAGCGGCCAGTGGTTCCCCGGCAGGACACGTTCGTCAAATCTCGCATTTGATGAAACAATAGTACGTTTCTGTTTCGGATCCCAGAACAGCCAGGCCTTCGAGTTTGCTGTATACCCAATGAAGATCATAAGTTGTGTTTTTGGCTGAAATGATTTTCGCTTTTTCTTTGGGATGAGGACATAGGCGAGGCAACCAAAGATGCGCATATGATCGACGTCTGGTACTCGTTGGAACCAGCCAATATATGGTGACTTCGTTAAGGAGCTGTCGGTTGGGAGGCGATTCGTGGCGTAATTTATAGTCGAAACCGCGTAGATCCAGAAACTCGATGGAAGCTTGGCCTCGTGTAGTAATGCAGTTGCGCCTTCTTCCAATGTACGATTTGCACGTTCGGCGACACCGTTTTGGTGCGGTTCCCCAGGCTCAGTTTCTCTTGGAGTGATTCCGTGGGCTGCCAGCTTTGTCTTGAAAGCGGTGCCAATGTATTCCCCTCCTCCATCGTTTTGAAGGTAGGTGACTTTGTAGCCTGGGTGCTGGGCTTCGGCGAGAGCTTTGTAATCCCAGAATCTGCCCTCCATTTCATTCTTCCTCTTCAGGAAGTAGACCGCTCGCAGCTCCGTATAGTCGTCAATAAACGTGACCCAGTATTGGTAGCCTTCTCGACTTGTTACTGGTAGAGGGCCCTTCAAGTCGGAGTGAATGATTTCGAGGGGGCGTGTTGCGCGTGTGCGGGGGGTGCGAGATACGTGTCGATGCTGTTTGCCGGTGATGCACGGCTCGCATATGGGATCAGCCTTTTGGTTGTCCTGTATATTGGCGCCCGTTCACATGACCGTGCTCGATTGCATCTCGAACGCGATTTGTGTTGACGTGCGCAAAGCGGCGGTGCCAGAGTGTCTCGTTTTCGGGCAGAGTACTTTTCTGCGTTGCATAGTTGCTGTTAACATTGTCGTTGCCTGGTTTATCGTAGACGGTTACAGTGGTGCCGACAAGGATGGCTTCATTGTTCTTCGTGTATTCAGCCGTCAATGTGAGATCCCCGTGTTTGAATCTGAGCCCGGATGAGTCGCCTTCAAGTTTGAAGTTCCTTTGTTGCACCAGAAAGAGTGCCGCGAAGAGGTTGCAGCATAATGTTGGGACGTGTAGGACTTCAGTTATTTCGACTTCTCTGCCGCTAGGTAGTCGGAATATAACACTTCCGGACCCTTCGGAATATACTACGGAGCCGTCGGCGAGTCGTATGGGAATGCAGCATGGTTTGTATTTGAAGAAGTATTCGCGCAAGTGGGACATGTGTCGTGTGGCGCCGGTGTCGATGATCCACGGGGAGCCTGAGCTTGTGGCGTTCGGGCCGGGTCTGCCAGCGGCGACGCTTGCGTATTCCATCGCTCCGTAGTCGGGGCGGTGTCTGGTTGCTTGTCTGGCAAGCTGGGCCATGACGGCACGTGGCCGAGTCATGAGGAACGAGCGCGTCCTGGGGCTTCCATGCTCGGGGCCCATAACCTGTTGAGCGCGGAGGGAGTCCGGGACGAGACGGCTGCGTCGGAGCGGTCAATGCCAAAGGGCAGTGTAGCTACGACATGATACATACCTGCGTCGGAGCGGTCAATGCCAAAGGGCAGTGACCGTCACGACACAGGACTTATCCTACTCGGTGTGACGGTACGTGAAGTATTGCTCTCAACATCTTCTTCGTTGCCAATGCCGCTGGATTCAAGCTAGACCAAAGTCGCTCAATCGCCTCCCCGTCGGTTTTTGCAACCCCACGTTTATTAGACAGCTTGTTTTTGTCTTTGCACTTCCCTCTGTGCGATTCGGCATGCCAAACAGGCAGACCAAATTGGACGTTGAGCTCGTCCAGGTTTTTCTGCATTGATGGAGGAAGTCGGCACATTCTCTCCTGAAAGTTGATCTTCCATTGACATGCGATATCGTACGATATCGTGAGCCAGAGTAGAATGACAGCCATGATTGACGAGAACAGGATCCAATCCATATTACAATATCTGTTCAAGTCGCGTCAGGCACTGGTTTTTCAATGCAGAGCTAAAGGTGAACCTTTCTCCCTTTTGTAGGTTCCCCATCCCATTAGGCCGCACGCATTCATGGCGCGCACAAACACAGGCCCCAACTCCAGACACTCGTAGACCCGTGGTCATACGAGTATCTTTCTGAAGCAGTGCAGCGAATGCAATGCACGTACTCATCTAATGACCGAGGGACGTGTCAAAAGGATTTTGGTAGCAGCAAATTGCACTTACATCCGCCTCGCTGACGTAGCGTTTCACGTGCTCTTCATATCCTGTCGGCTCCACCCAGTAGCCCCATCCCGGTCCCAGCGGCGCGTCATTGATCTCGTTTGCACGTATCCGGTTCTTGAGACGGAAGTTTGCATCCATAGCTAGAATAAGCATGTATAAAAATCTAGAGGCAATACATTAATCAGGTGTTAAAGCGCATGCGATGAGGAGACAAACTGGAGACGGGGATCCGCAGACCGCCAATTGTTTGGCAGATTTCGACCATCGTGGGGGCAAGCCCAGCAAGCGACAGCGCATGCACCAAGTTGTGTGGCTTCGATTCCAGCTGGATCATGGCCACGTCCTGCATGCTTGCAGCGAGCGAGAAAGGCCCACTGCCGAGAGATCCTATGGAATTGTCGAGCACGCTCCTGGAGTGAAATTTAGTGAAGAAGGTCGCAAAGGAAAATAGATAAAACACACTGGAATAGATATCAAGCCTGAGACCCCCAAGCTATTCGTCATTCGCTCGAGAGCTGACATGAAGTCCGTCACATTGAGATTTCCTTGAACATTGAGAAGTCGGTAAGCTTTCAGTGTTCGGAAGGTCACGCAGGTGGCTGGCTCGATCACGGTTGCTGGGTACCAGGCATTCCGTAATAACTGGGTGACATTATCGGCTTCTTTCGCTCTGGCGCAGTTGCAGTACCGCAGTCGGATGGTATGGATGTGGGGAATATCGATTACAGTCATCGTGTGGACAGTGACGTCGGGAAATCCGCAAAGAAAAGCCGCCATGTCCAACTTGATAGATTTGGCCCAGTTGTCGAAGCGTTTGAGGGAACCAATAATTCCCATTGAATTCCTATCTAATATTAGTATATTGAACTCGATCCTTTGAGTGCACACCTCGAGAAGATGGAGCGGAAAACGCTCATGAATCGATAGACAGCAGGCAAGACATTGGAGATGGCTGCCACAATCTTCGCATCGAAAGCAACGTGGGGCAGTGATATCGTTTGGCTTCACTCCAAGTACTTCGCTGCAGTGGGCACATCGTGGATTTCGCAGGTCATTTCCGAGACCGTCGTGGCGAAGAATTTCATCAAGGAAATATCCCTTGTGCGGCCGCCATTGAGACATTGGATTCGTCTTTTTCAACACATTAGTGGTCATGCCAGCGCGCATATTTTCAACTCACTGAACTGGCATATGTCTTTCGTCCTCGGCCCCACTTCCTCCTCCACAACCTCCGCTTGTGTGTGTTCTTCGAATAGATTATCGGTTGGCATTGGCTCAAAGGCGGCGAATGAGTCGTCCTCAGTTGGTTCCAGTCGAACCCGCTTCGTAGGGTTCAGTATAGTGGATGATATTCGATGATTTCGACCGTCGTCAGCCAGAAAGAAATTGCGACCTGTCGTGCGATTCTTCGCGATGTAGCCTCTAGATGTGCCCAGTTCGATGGTATCCTTCTCTCTACGCTTGCGCGAGCTCATTTTGCCTTCTGTTGGAGTGGGAATCGTCTAGTCAAGCTGGTCAGTCAAGCAAGTCGGTCAAGGAGGCTAAAAGTTTACCTGAAACGAGTGTCCACATGCAGTGTGAGTCCATCCAGGGCTTGCGCGAGGGTCAACGCCGCCGAGAGACGGGTCGAGACACAGGTCATTGCTGTTTTTGTGCTCATCTACGTTGTTGTTGTCTCCACGCACAGTGCTGATGTGTCAATTGAAGGAGGCAGGAGGCAAAAGTTCTGATATCGTCACATACCTTCGAAACGTGTTGCGTATTCGAGTTACAAGACCAGGGCTCCGTTTGGCTCAAGAGAGAAATGTCCTGATGCCAAGTGTTCAAAGCTAGGCTGGCAGCAGCCCGTCAGCCAGCTTCCAGCTCCGAGTGAGGAATACGCAGATTGATTTTGTTTTGGGCGCGAGCAGACAACACAAAGTATGCTACCAGGAATACCAGTAAACTAACGAACTGCAGCAACAAGAAATAACTAGTTAGTTCACAAAGTTTGAGCGCTCAGGTTGTTATACAGTCGGGAAAACCAGCCCACTCCAAGAGTAGGTAACGCGACTAGTGTCTTCAGCAATTCGGGGGTAGGCGTCCTGGAGTACGGCTGCTAAGTCGAAGTTGCGAATCGGCGCACTTCTGACGGTAGTGCGACAGATTGGACAGTTCCAGTCGCGTTGGAGCCACAGGCGTAGACACATATAACAATGCGAATGCCCACACTCAGAGCTAAGGAGAGCAGCGTGAATAACGATACCGGCAAAACGATGGATTTACTTACACAACAGGATGCATTTTCACACCATAGCAAATGGAACACTGGTGGGAGAGTCTGACTGGATCCAGATACGGGGGGCGTGGACTCCCAGGGAGGAGAAGCCGATCTTGCACGACGCCACGAGCCGTAGAACGATGCCAGCCGCCATGTAGAGTGTTCTTTTTAGGACGATCAAGTCTCAGCTGTGAACGAGGAGCCGAGTCTACGATTAAGAGGGTGGCGCCACCACGAGAGTTGGTACCCAGAGTCAGGTAGGGTCGCGGAGGTTCTAAGTGGAGGTGAGACAGAGAATACGGAAAGCAAAGAAACCACGAACCTCGAGAAGTACGACGATTAAGAGGGTGGCGCCACCACGAGAGTTGGTACCCAGAGTCAGGTAGGGTCGCGGAGGTTCTAAGTGGAGGTGAGACAGAGAATACGGAAAGCAAAGAAACCACGAACCTCGAGGAGTAGACGGCGGGTCTTCGTGTCGTGGCTGGGTCGGGTCCTGCAAGCTGGCCATACCCCGCCTGACTGCGGGCATTTTTGTCGTTGTAGTTCAGGCTAACTCGAGAACTTAAACTTATACATGATCCCGCGGATAAGATAGTTCAGGAAATGACATCATAAAATGGGCGGTAGTGCGCCTAACAACCCTTTCAAGATAGTACCTAGTTCATGGTGCATCAGTGGTGCATCCCATCGTCAAAATTCCCGTCGTCAAAACTCGCCGCCAAAACTCGCCTCGCCAAAACTCCCCCTTGTCAGAACTTTATCTTATCTTGTTTGTGTGGCAAATGTCAGCCTTGACTCGACTTATGAAGGCCAAAGATTACCTGGTACCACGTTTTGTTTGGCCTGGGATCACATCAGTATTGCGATTGGAAAATGGGAGTAGACACACGAGGTTAATGAAAGCCAGGGTCATCGGAACTGCGAAAGGATCGCATGGAGAAGAACAAGACATGATGTTGATATGCTCACTTGGCCCAAGCCCGCTCGACCCACTCTCCCGTTGGTGGGTATATTTGAGGAGGAAGACGTCGAGACTGCCCGCAAGGACAGACGATGCGCTTGAACGTGACGACAACATAAGCCCACCACAGCTGTGATGTATGGAAGGTCAGCATACCGAAAACTCGACTTGAGGCAGAACAAGTACCTGCATGAGGGAAGATGAGGGATGGCAGTAATCAAACGGGAGGATGTGACCAGACGCTAAGGAAAAAAAATTTGTACCGCAAAGAGGATGCCTACGTTGGTGACAAACGACTGATGGCAAACGACTGTCGCACGCTAGAAAAAAACCTATAAGAGCCCGTATGCAACCAAAGAAATAAGTACTGTCCTTCGAAATGCCAGCCCACGACTCCCCCCAAAGTAACAAAAAGCAGATGGGCCGTCGCATTAGCCCTTGCAAGTCGGGTTTGCGCCCTCACCAGTCACCTTGGCTGGCAAGGCTCTTCAGTCGCCCGTTTCCCTCACGCAGCGACCCGCCCTCGCATGCCATCCCGCCTTCCTCGAATATCGCCTTGCGAGACAAGTTGGAGATAGCGAACCGGGTAACCATGTTTCTGGAGGACTGTGACGAGTACTATCGTGGGGAGGTTAGTATGGATTTTTTCGTGTTCTTGTTACTCACTGTATTGTCAAGATCGAGTTGCCCAAGAACTATGCTCCATTGACTCCGGGACCAAGAAAAAGAGATACTCAACAAGCTCTCTGCCACCACGGACTTGAGAGTGGTGTCTGGCCCCACCGAGGCGTTCCTCGAACTCTTCGATGGTCTGCCATTGTCTCCTAGCCGCCAAAAGACCTATGCAGGTCGCGAAAATCGGACGACCCTCCGTGAATCTACGCCACTGAGCGCTGATGAACTCGAAGACGATGATGCGCAACCCGTACCCATCTGGGACCTTCAAGTTCAGTTGCGTCGTTCGACCCGATTGGTGATGGCGGAGAGAACACGCCGCAACGAGCCGATCGTCGAAGAGGTTGCTCCGACACCGACGACCATGGCACCAAATCCTACTATTATTCGAGGTCATTTGCGTCGTGAATTCCAGCTTGTCAAGGCAACTATTCACCCGTAAGTCGCGGCTCGGCCCAACCGAACCCACTCACAGCTGTATCTTCAGGAAATTGCCGACTCCATTCGTCGACTCACAAGACGTGCTGATGTCAGTCGTCCTCCGAGGCCCAACGACTGATGAATCAGGGTGGGAGCTGACTTGCACCAGCATTGTTGGCCCCCTTCAACTTCTTGCCGGCCTCATGGAAGACCAACCTCTGCGCTGGGGGCTAGACTTCGAGGCAGGAGCCTACGCGGTGAGTTTTATATTTGATTGTCAAGGATCAGCACCAACGTTGAGTTTGTCAGGCGGCCAAAACCATTGAAAAGCACACTGCGCTCGTCAATTTCCCTGGCGGAGATCTAACGTGTTGCCGCAGTGTCAACCACATTGCCGAGTATCAATTAGGTGCGTCTCTCGTTCGGTATCTGATGTTTCTTACCTCGCGGTCTAGCTTGCGCTCGACAGTTCTTCCCAGCAGTTTGCAGCTCCATGGCAGCTGAACTGGAGCGAGCATTCGACCACGAGCACTTGGTTGTGCCCTATCCGCACTCTGTCTTTTCCACAATGGAGTTCCGCATCAACACGGCGAAGTCTTTCCAACCGCAAAAGGTGTGGGAGATGAGATTCGGCGACTTGCTTGCGGTGACCGTCGTCGGCAATTGGAAGCCTGAGGCGGGCGGCTATTTGCTCATGCATAGCGAGGGGAAGATGGTCTCCGTGAAGCCTGGGGACACGATGCTACTTCCGGCTGGAGCTCACATCTATAGCTTCGCACCAGTTCGGAAACATGAACGCCAGTTCTTCATTACCCAGTTCCTCCACTCATCCGTCGTGCGCTGGCTTCAGAAGGGGGGACTATCCGATAGCGAGCTCGAATTCCAGGCGAAGACGCGACGCGAGAAGAAGTATATCGACCTGTTGCATGATTGGACAAAAGCTCGAGAGACCCGAGGAGTATTGAGCGGAAAGCTATTCAAGAAGATGGAAGAAGTAGGAATTGTCGTTTAGCACTAGCTGCCGTCTTTCGTTGTACTTCGGACTGTTGTTGGAATTCAATCCAGTCCAGTCTTGACAGTCTCGGCGAGTGGCAAATCTGACACGTGCTGGCACACAGCCGATCATAGAACGCATCCAGCCCTGATTGGCCATCATAGCCTAGAATCCATTTCTCATTACAGACGACTAAGCAACAATTACCACGATTTCGTGAGTTGGTCGAAGGTGGAAAAGGGAGGTAGAAGAGATGTAGATAGTTGATCAAAGGTAGAGAATGGGGGAAGAAGTATATGAGATGCACTGACGGCTTCGAAGGAATCCGCAAAACATGCATGAGACGGCAATCCAACTGAAGAATAGTCGTCGCCATAGTTATGACAACTTGAACGCCCGTTGCCTGAGAGGTGTGGGTTGGGCGGGTTGAATGGGGAATAAGCGTCATTATGATGGTGTGATCGCAAGCCTTCATCGACCCCTCCACGATCTGCTTCAGCACGACGACTTATAACGTCTGAGAAAGAAAAGCTGTAAAGCAGAAGTCATACCGTCGTTGTTTACGTTTGTATCGCTTGCGATACATGCGCGACCTTTCAGCAACCTGTTGCTGCACTTCAAAAGGCTGGAATTTAAGTTGAGCGCGCCAGCTATAATGTAGGATGAGTAAGTGGTGAGCAAGACTCATAATGCAACCCATACGAAGCCATGTACTCTTTTGCCTTTTGATTTCGCCGCTGTCGTTTCCGCTCCTCACTACAGCCATTAAAGTCTGACAACGGGCAAAGGGAAATGGACGCACGAACTGTCCGGATCGAATGAGTGGGTGGAATGCATTGAAAGTCGATACTAAGTAAGGGATCGTCCATCAAATTTTGAAGAGTCAGAATGCGAAAGGCGAGGGTGAATGGTGGCAAAGCGTTGGCAAGCTGGCCATGGCGGCACTATGTCCTGAGCTCGGACAATCCGGGCGGTTACATGCGCCTCCAGGTCGACCGGAACTGGTTGGTGCCCCTTAAGAAAGGGCCGTCGCAGTGGCAGCGCCATGGGATCGGCGCGGAAAGCAGTCGTGGGCAATCACAAGTTGATGCAGTGATGGGGGGTGCCGGCCTGGAGGATGAGAGGGAGGTGGTTGACGCGCTGACTCATGTGCGGAAGGCTGCCCGTGCCGTGCTGGGCTTCCACCATCAAAATCCAGAGCCGGCCGATTGACGCGCCAGTGATGGCGGTGACGGCGTGATGCGCCGCGCCGGCTGATGCATGTGATGGTAGTTGTTTTTGTAATGTACTACAATCTCTATTTTACTGTCTGGAATTACTACTGGACATCTCTTTTGCACTCAATGACCCATTTACAGACAGGAGTGCACGCTAATGCATGGAATGTAAACGTCGAAGTGAATGATGCGTCGATAAAGGCGTCCGGACAAGTAAAGTTCTCCCGCATGTCGCATTGGCTCTCGGTTTCCGCAAGGGAAACGGTGTACCGCCGTTCCATATCTCTGGAAATCATGTCCATTGTATCCTTCATTTGCTGCATGTCGTGTTTATAGAAGACCCCTCTCTGGTAGGGCAACCGCAAGAGTTGGATTTTTGGCAGCATCAGAAGGAGCGCAACGAAAACGTGGAAAAGCTCGGTGTCCTCGCCTACTTCCGGAATTGGGTTTCGTTCAAGATGCGTGATGTCGACCTCGGTCGCGGCTTTGAGAAGACCGGTAAAAAGCATACGGTCTTCCAATGGTCCATAATGGTACCAGTGGCCGGATAGATGCAAAACCCAAACCTGTCTGAGCTTGGAGCGGTTGAGCGCAGCGAAGATGGCGGCGCCATCCTGATGACCGATATGGAGAGCCATAAATTTGAGGTTTGGTGCATCAATGGCAGCAACGACTTGGCCACAAACATGGCTGCCGCAAATATACCACTTGCATGAATATGCGAGGGAAGACAGTTGGGGAAGGACAATAGTGGAAAGTTGCGTGTCGGCATCTTGCACGCAGTCTGCACTAGTGAGGCGCAAGGAAGATAATTGCGAGCATTCGGAGAGAACAGCCAGAAGATTTTTGCCAAGGTCGCATTTTTCTCGGCCAGGATGTTCGACCGAGCCACTCAGGGCAAGGGTGGTGAGGTGATTGTACGACAGTCCGGCAACATAGTGGTGGGGTACGTCTTCGAGAACGAGTTCCCGAAGTGCCGATGTCACTCCATGAAGAGGAAGAATATCGAGGCGGTCATCGCTATTTTCGACGGACGCGAGTGCCAGGACTTTGAGGCCGGTAAAACTGATTTCTGTTCCAAGCGCTTGGACAAGGGATTCCCAAATTGCGCCACTGTCGACTGTAACAGCGAGCCGTTCGAGAGACGACGGCGTGTGCCGCAAGAAGGTTGCTGATATTGGGCATGAACTCGGGATGACCCTCCATCAACTCGAAGTGAGAGGGTGGTGGTTGTCCTGTCGGAGTGTAGTAATATTGACGTAGCGTCAAGACGATGGTTTTGGACGAGTTTTTTGCATGAGCGAAGAGGCGATGAAGGTAGGTTGGACCGAACGCGGAGCATATGTGGAGACGAGCCCAAAGAGTAGGACTGTTGTCCAATACGCTCTTCCACACTCGATTTACACTCCGTATATTGCCTCGTTGTTGCGCATCCCATCTCCATCCCATCGGTTGCAGGACAAACATGAGGACACGCAAAAAGAGTTCGTAACTCAACAGGTTGAGGTGTGAGCGAGGCGAGGCGGTCAACTGAACGGTCGCAAGACCTTTTTGGGGGGATGTAAGAGGCATTGGCTGTTGGTGGGGGAAACCTCGCTGAATCATTTAAAAGGTGTGGCGCCAGGCTCCTAAACCAGCCCTCGTTGCAGAGCTAGTCAGGCCAATTCTGAGAGATTATTATAAGCTATTTATTTATTCAAAATCAAAAATGTGACATGATGTGACGAAAAGAGTTGGGGTAGCGCTCTGCAAGAGGGCTGGCCCAACTAACCCGGACCGACCACCGAATATCTCCGATTGGGCTGGCATCAATTCGTCAATAGCTTCTCCTTGGCTTCTCCACCAGCATAGCTGGCCCCTTCCACTCATCTTTCTCCCCCATCCACCCCATCTCATGCCCCCAAACCCACCAACAGACCTCCAAAACCTACTCCGGCGCCACTACCATGAATGATGGACAGTTAAGAAGGTCGATGCGCTTGGACAAGAGGTTTTTTGCCAGCGGCCGTGTCTGTCCCAGGTACACCCAGCACTTGCGTGGCTGCGACTGGTGTTGCTGGGGTCAAAGGGGTAACAAGCAATGGTGTTGGCCAGCGGAATGGCGTAGACGAGAGAGAGAGAGCTGGAACAGTGGTGCACCAACCGGAGATAAGTGCACTGCTTCGGTGGTCGGTCCGGGTTAGTTGGGCCAGCCCTCTTGCAGAGCGCTCGCCCAAACTCTTCGTAACATCATGTCACATTTTGATTTTGTACTAAATTGATACATATTTAGCCTGAAATACACCCTCGGATTGCGCTCTGCAACGAGGGTTGGTTTAGGAGCCTGGTGTGGCGCCAGGCTCAAAGTTTACCTGTTTTGGCAGGCGCTGTATGTTGATGGAGTATTTTCAAGGATGATGTGAAGCAAGATCAGGGTAAGAGGCCCCTTGGGACCATATTTGGAAGGACCAGCGAGAGGAGCGGAGTGAGAGCAGATGTTGTGTGTGCATAGAACAGGCAATGGATAACGTGACATCCCAAATGGGGCGAGACACTTAGTCTAATGTCCCGCTCAATTGACAGCAGCGACAACTCAGGTGAATAGAGACTCACGTTTTATGTCAATTGAGGGGACATTAGACTAACGACTACAGACACGGGTGCGACACGAAGACCGACACATACACAATACTGGGCAATGCACAAGTCGAAAGCAAGGTCAAAAAAGCTTGTCGTCATTGGGACCTCCACCCCTGCCTTAGGTCTCTTCTCAACAACGCCAACGCAGCGCAAACTACTCAGTACAGCGGCAATTCAAAAGTATCGACTGGGTGTGGCCAGAATGGCGGATGAGGACCAGCAAGGTAAGACTTAATATCTGCAGCAGAACAGCTTCCGCTAACTACACATGCAGCAATGAGTAGCCAAGCACTTGACAATCTTGCTGCTCTTCAGAACTTGGCTAATGACGACGAATTTGACGCCACCGACTTACTTGCATGCGAAAATATCATGTCGCTGGGAGGTGTATTGGATGGAACTCAAATGGCTGTGATAAGCCATGCTGGTGGAGAATTCGACATGCTGGAAGAATCTCTCAAGAGCGGCATGCATTCACGGTCAGTCGCTTTACCCTTTGGCCAATCATTTTCTTACTGTGTACAGTCCGCAAACTCGTGATTGGCGGACACGGCGAGAGCGCACGCAACGACGCGTCGATGCTTTTACCATCCAACTTCCTCACCTTCTTCAAGCTTACCTTCGTTATTGTTCTTCGCCAACGTCCTCAACGAACGAGCATGAAGGTGCAAATGGGGCTGACATGTATCCTGTAACTGTCGTGGAGATGTTTGGTATATTCTTCTCTTCTTTTGTCGCGCTGTCTAATGGTCAATAGAAACAAGGCATAATCAAGAGGTCTGGCTAGACCCGACGGCGGGGGGGCATTGCGGCAGCTCTTATTCGTCAAGGGCGCGAAAATCCATGCGCCAGTCGCTGGAAGAACATCAAGAACGACGTAACTGCAAAAATGTGGGGAACCTTCGACGAGACGGGGATTTTTTTGGCGCTTTGCCGCCATAGCTTTGTAATCGTGGCTGCCGACATGGTGCAAAGTGGCGAGTTGTAAGTTTGTTTTCTCTCTTAATTGTTTTCATTGCTCATTCTTTCTATAGATCAAAGTATGCGCTAGCGGTTGTGGATGCCTTTTTGGAATGCACCGACGACGACGATGCTGGTGGCGGTTACGATGTCGCATGTAATTTGAAGAAAACTATCGCAACTAGTAATTTGGGGAAACTGGCTGAAGAACGACAATTTCACTGCCTGGTTGGTGCCTTCCATGGGCATGCACACAACCGCCTGTGCCAACTTGAGTACCTGACTACATACATCGAGGGGTTGGGCTTGGAGGACTTGGAGACCTTGGAGCGTTTCTTTTCACGCTCTAATGGTCTCGCGTGGTCATGTCGCAATGCCAGTATCTTCCATCGACAACAAGAGATCACGACTTACTTTAAACACGTTGACACCTTCGAGTCATACCCTAGTCTGAGTAAGTATTCGTTGTTTGCCTCTATGGGTACTGACGCAAATCAGGCAAATTCATATGTGATAACTACCGACAAGCGATCCGGATAATCGACAACAAACCCGCAGTTCAAAGAGTGATGGCCAAGGAGGGAATCGAAGATGGGGAGGACTTTGTCCGGTCCCTGCAGGAGGAGAAAGAGTGGTTGCTTACACTCAAGTCAGCTTCGTCGGAGATTGAATCCTCCAGAATCCGCTACATTCATGCTCTGAAGAAGATGGAGACTACTGTGTGCGTATGGTCGTCGCATGTCATTGTTTTTACTTACGCTTATTCCAGGTTAACTGTCCGCGAGTGTCGCGCTGCTGCTCGACAGGCTCGGAACGACGATGCAACATATACACCTGGCCGCACGAAGGCGGATATCAACCTTCGACATGCCGAGGAGCACTTAGAGCGAGATGAAAGACTGGTGCAAGAATTGGAGGTCGAACTTGGGATTGCAGAGCGGTGGAAATCGGAGCAGGTAGAGTATCAAGAGGCGGAGAAAGAGGCTCTTCATTTGGAGTTTACACGCGCACTTAATCGGCTGGAACTTTTGCTGGTACAACGATTATTGGAGCTGTCTAAATTGAATCAGTCCGGTCTGGGTATGTATAATTTCCCCTTTGTATCGCATTCACTAATATGGGGGTATCTAGGATATCACTTGCGAACCCATTTGGCAAGATCTATTCAAACTCGGTCCCAAACTATCAAGCAAGCCTTGGAAACGTACAATGCCATCGCTGTTTTGCAAACCCCACCACGGGCTCACATCTCCTGGGATGAGGTCGTCGCCCGAACCTTCCTCTCCGAATTCGATCTCCTTCGAGATAGTACGGGGGACATCCAGAACGATGCGATGGGCTCAACCAGTATATTGAGAAATCATGCATCAGTATTTCAAGATAATTCGCGCGCGCGAGGAGATCGAACGCCTCAATGTGGAGATTCGGCGTCGACTAACATGGATGAGGGACGACCTCGAGTTCTTGCAGCAAAAGGCAGCAGAATTGCGGAACTCAGAGGGCAAGTCGGTGGAGAAGGCAGAACAAGACATCATCATGGCGGCTCAAATTGAGGAGTACGCAATGCGGCGCCATCGATTCGATGATACCTACCCCCAACGCTTCCAATCACTGACTCATTTCGAGGGCTTTACTGGGTCTCTTGTGTTGGGCGAGGCTGTTGTTCCGTGCGCAGTGTCAGGTGCCGATCCTATGGTTGTTGATGATTGGGAGAGGGATGGGGATGCACCACCTCCGGCGGATTTCAATTTTGACGTCAATATGGACAGAATCGATGAAGAACATGGCGAGAAGTTAGAACTCAGATGACGAGGGTGATGATGCCCATGATGCTGAACTGTCTGAATTAATCTATAGTCTTGCTGGACTTGGAATTGATGAAGGGGAGCGAGGAGAACTAGATGGCTAGGAACATTTCCTATTTTGTCAAGTTACCTTCCTTTTATAGCAATAGTATTTTTGTGCGCTTAGACTGATGATGGGTGTAGTGATGAGTGATATTATGCTTTAGAGCATTCAAAATAGTAGGCCATGGGATACTGGAGCTCATCTGAATAATATTGATCAGATCAAAATATTTGATTGCTCTGGTTAAGAACTAGGATGTTACCAATATTTCCTTAAATACTGATTTGATTGATGGGATCATGATATAGTGATCCTTCATCAGACATGTAGCAATAACTTGAAAACAGTCCCAAGTCCAGAAAATATTGCAGAAGTCAAGACTTCCTTATATGGTAATATCATTGATTGAATCAAACTATGTCGATACCTCATCAGACAAGTAGCCAAGACTTGGAAAAAGTTCAAAGTCCAAAAATTATTGACTTTATTGCAGAATTATCCCCCTAATTATCACAGAATAAGCTTCTGAAGGTCTTCTCTTCATGTTAGAGATGTCACCCAGATGGGTCGACACTTCTTATATGTGGGGATATTTGGAATTAACAGGTGGTTGATCAATGCCATGTTTATTTTTGTGCAATTTCCACAACTTTTGCATTGCCTTTATTCATTTATTTGCAGACTATATAAACTTAATTGGTTAGTCCTTGTTTGTTTTGAATGGATGAGAATTTTCCAAACACATCAACTTCAATCAGAATTTACTTAATATTCTTGACATTACAAAGTATTTTTAAATTTTGGAAGAACATAAAACTGGTGTAAATCAAAGGAAGTGTCCTAATCAGTACTTATGTGTGTTGGTTGTATTCTATATTGGGCTACATATGGAAAGTCTTATGTACGGAGGAAGCACCAAGCAAGGACCAAAATAATGCTGTTCAGCCTGAAGCTACAAGCTCCAGATGCATATCCAAGCTCAAAGCTCCAACCTCTAAGCACCCTTGGCAAGCTCCGAGTTTCCAATGATAACAACCGTCATACTAACCTGCGCTTTCTGGGTGAGTACAAGTCTTGTTTGAAGCATACCACTCACCACCTTCGCCTAGAGCACCTCCGGACTGGCCTTAAGCGACGGTCGACGGGCAGCGGTGGAGAAGAGCAGAGAAGGAGCGTGAGACTGCAACCGGACGTTCGAGCTTGGAAGCCCGAAACACGTGCCGCTTATCAAATAGGACACCGGGTATGGGGTGCTTGGTGCGTGGGTATGGAATCGAATCGAATCGCTCATGATGGTGCACTGCTGGCTCAGGGCATGCATTGCCATACAATTTCAAAAGCCTGCCGCAACATGGGACAAAGTGACAATGATTGTGAAGAAATGAACAGCGCCGCACGATGTGAGTAAAGTTTAAACTGGCTAATTACTACTCTCATGCGCTCCACAAATGCATTAAAGAGAAACTTTGCCGTGCTCATTGAACTGTTTGCAACACACGTCAATGAAAATCATTCGATGACGATGTAACAAGAGAACTCACTTGTCGTGCTCTTCACTTGCGGCGTGGGGGGCACTCCGTAGGGTAGCCGGGAGGAGGGGGATAGGTAGGGTAATCGCCGGGGCCGGAAGGAGGGGGATATGTAGGGTAATCGCCGGGGCCGGGGCCGGGCGGCGGCTCGGTAGGGTAGCCGTCCCCGTCGCCGGGCTGGGGGTCGTCGTCCTGGCGGGCCATCAGGTGGACGGAAGACAGGGCGAGGTTGTCGGGTGCCCGGCGCGCAACACCGGTCTCGTCGACGTTGCGAACTGCACCGGGGACTGCAGCGGCGAAGACCGCAGGGAGGAGAAGCGCGGAGAGGAGGAGTGTGGGGAGCATGTTGTCGTTGTTTGGGGATCCGATGTAGCGGATAAAGAGAGACACACAGTCGCTCGCCAGCGTCTATATACGCCCTCAGGAACCACGTCCCCGCTTCTCAACGCACTCCAGACTCAATAGTCATAGTGGAGAAAATTGGATCAAAACGCCCCGGCATCAAGCGGACTCCCGCATCACGCAGCGGCAGAACAATAAGTACTGACACTCCGAGGTCCCCGTCCACGGTTGTGATGTTGAACTTCCACGCTCGCGTTTGTCCTCGTGCGGCTGCAATTGATGTGTTCGCCAGCGTGAGTTATCGGCTTGTTACAGAAGAGCAGGAGAACGGGCGACTTCGCGTTACCTAATACCTATGGCCCATTCTGTGGTTTTGTTACCATGCTATCAGTATCCTCAGCAACAAGAATTCACAACTGTGGCGCGTACCACAATGCGTCGCACTGCCGTCGCGACGAACAGCTATGAACATTCTTATGTGCTGTCAGTGCTGAGCTGGTGACGAAGACTAGGCCGGTACCAATGATCAGAGGATCTGCACCCCTGTTGCCCTGCACTCGCAAGGAACCAGATAATGCCGGCATGCGCACGACGGCGGACTCGGGGTACGGCGTTTCGCTACAATCTCGGCGTTTGCGGAAGCGCTGTCAGTGCCAGTGGCGGTCGGTGACGAAATCGACTCATCTTTCGGGAACACGCCGGACGGTGGAAGTCGAGCAGCCGGAGGCCAACCGGAGGCACATTGATCCTGCCAAGGATCCGAGTCCTGCACGTTCTAGGGCTCAGGCTCGAGCGGAAGAAGGCCTCAACATCATGATAATGCGCACAACTTGAACGCTAGCGCTTCGTGCGAGAGAATGCCAAGAACGAAAGCGAAAGGTTAAAAGTTAAAGTGAAACTGACGGGCTGTCGTTGATCCGGAGGAGGGCGGACGCTGCGCATACCGCGGGTGCTTTTGTTCGATTTTCCGGCGCGCGCATGTGGCCTGTGGCGCGCTCCATGACACATCGCCATTACCCCACTGATGAATTTGTGGTGCGTCAAGTCTGGGGTGGGAAGGCCTGGGCTGTGGGTAGCGGGTAATAGGGTCCTGGGCACGCAGGCGTGAACTCGGGAATGAGCCGTTGAATGTGACAAGTTGCGAAAGAAGACGACAAGAGAAAAAAACTTTTTCCGAATGGCCCAACGAGGGCTCCCGGGGCGTATATAAACGCTGGAAACATGGCTTCTGTCCTCGTCCACACTACCATGTTCCCCAAAATCCTCCTCACCGCGCTTCTCCTCCCCGTTGTGATTGCCGGGGCAGTCCCCGGGGCAGCCCGCATGCGGCGCCAGGACGACTCCGAAACCAACACTGCGCTGCCCCCGCCGGAGGAGACCCAGGTCGACCCTCCTCCCGACGATATTCCGCCCCCCGATGAGACAACAGTTTTTCCTCCCGACGAGACCACCTACGGCACCTGGGAACCAGCCCGCAGGCGGCGCCAGGATGACGAATGCACCAGGATTACGCTGCCTCCCCCGGAGCCGACCGACTTGGGCACCTTCGAACGTCGCGGAGTTCGCGCCGACGACTAGACTGGAGCCGTTGACCCCAAGTAAGTCGATCGCCTTCAGAGTATTCAAACAGTCCTGAAGCATCCTGCAAGAACTTGAAGCCACGTTTCTGTCGATAAATTATTAGTACTGAATAGCTGCTGGCACAAGCGTATTCTACTCACGTTGTCCTGTACTATTGAAACATCATCGTGGTTTATGTATTTTCCCAGTTGGCATTGCCGCATCGTCCCGTTTCTGTGTCTGAAGGGCTTGAGTGTCGTGCCACTTATTTACTCCGTGTGGCTGGGTGACCGGAACACTGCCTGAGAAGGCGAAGACTTGTCAACGCACCGAATGTGCCAGGGCCGAGCGCGGTTGCGAAGAGAAGCGCCATAGTCGTTCAGGTGGGTATCTTCGCCAACCCATTGTCGATGCTGACTTGACTTGTTCAGTCCAAGCCATCACCTGGGGGAGACGCATTTTGAGAAGGGGAAGGGTGTTGCAGGTATTGCACCAACGCTGGCCGGTTGCCCGGGCCTTGCTCATTGACGACGTCCCAGACAGCACGGTCGGTGTTTTTGGCGTTTAGACCTTGCCGATGTCGGTCTGCAGCCTTCGCGATAGACGACAGTTGTTGGGCGTCTGAATCGATGCGCGCTGATAGTGGAGGGCCATCAAAGTGCGGGAGGCGGGTTCGTTGTGGAGGGCTGGTGCGCGGGCGGGGGAGGAGAAGAAGCGTGGTTGATAAGCGGCACGTGTTTCGGGCGTCGCATCCGAGTGTCCGATTCTTGTCCCACGCTCGTCGCTCTCCCTTGACGTCCATCGCATGCTCGTTCTCGCCTGGCGCTGCGCGCCGAAGACCCGACGCGTGTGGGTGTTTGTGCATGCTACTTTCTGTCCCTGACAACCTTTATCTAGAAATAAACAATAATTACTTCTTTTGTACTCTGACTCCGATGGTGACGCGTCCCCACTGCTGGACCCACACATATATTAAGCCAGTGGTACGCGTGTCACTCACTACACCACTGTTGTTTCCACCCAGCATGACCTCTCACATCCAGGACACTCTTCAGCACCTTGAGCAAGCGCCGCTCACTCGGCCAGTGCTCCACACGTCCGGCCTCGTCGCCGTCAAGGGCCCCGACCTGGAGCTGGCACACAAGAACACGAGAGGCTGGCACGCCATGAACTTCCTCCACCACTCTTACGTCGACCTCGGGTATCTGGCGGAACACTCGCTTGATGACCCCCCACACCGAACGCTGGACCGCAGCCACTTCTCGCATGGGCTCGACCTCGCTGTCTTGCAGGACATCGTCGCAGACATCACGCCCAACATGCTGCAGGCAGAGCCACACGCAGTGGTTCGCGCTGTGCTTGACCGGCTCGATGTTTACGGTGCGTCAAGCGCTAGCCTACTTGACTGTCCCTCACTTCAGATTACATAGTTCCCGGAACTCCACCAATCCATTGGGGCCCCTCCGACATCGTCGACGCACACATCGGGACGCTAGTCATTGTCTTTCCAACTCACCACAGCGGCGGGGCGCTGACATTCACACGGGGGAACGGAAGCGGAGACTGTCTCCCCCGCGGGCGGCCTGGTCACTGGCGGTGCAATGGCCCATATTGCGTATGCTGCATACCGCAACGACACGGCGATGACGCAGGACCACATCGACAGCGGGTATCGTGTGACAATGAGCTACAAGCTGTTTGCCGTCCAGCGGGGCGAGAGAGCGATGTGCGGCCCTGGGCTCAGCTCCGCGGAAGACGAAATGTCGCTCGCGATGAGACGCCTCGCTGCCGCCCTCTTCCCCCCGAATTCAGACGGCATGCTCTGCTTTGGGCTGGTCCACGCCTATCCAATACCGTGCACGCCCACTGACGAGAGGTCGCTCCGCGACGTTGTGCCGCTGCTGCGGGGCGTGGACAAGCGCATTGCGACGGCGGCCCGGGCGGCCGGCATGGAGGTGCTCGTCCGGCTCGTGTACGAGGTCGAACCCGAAGAGCTGTTGGCAAATGACGACGACTGCGCAACTGAGCTGTATCACGTGGCGGTCGACCGCGTGCTTGCGATGAGCGGCGTCGACCATGACTTTGAGCCTGTGGACGGGCAGCGCGCTGCGTGGAGGATTTTGTCGGCGGGCGAGATCCTGTGCCCGGTCAGTGTGACGCCCCCGACGCTGAAGCGCAGCCGCTCGCGTCAGCCAAGCCGGTCCGACGATTTCTCGAAGGTGCTGGATGGCAAGCGGGCCACATTTGTGGATGCGCACTGGGTCACGCCACTCACGCAGATCAACTGCGCCAAGTCGTCGTTTCTGTACGCGGATAATAAGCGCCCAGGGATTAAGAATCGGGAGGCATATGCAGCGTTGTTCGTGCATATCCCGCATGCTGAATCGGAGGAGAAGGGTATATTAAGTACTCGATTGGTTTGAGCTCTCAGTAATGACATGGATTGTGGATGACTACTTATCGGCCTCACAACTACTTAGGGAGTGGCACGGATATACCGTTTGGTATGTGGGACTCTATCTGTATCTGTATCTGTGGTGGCTGTGTACCCATATCCATGGATACGGATATGGATATAACCACACCACCTCATGTCACGTCATCCACCCTCTCTTCTTCCGCCATCCGCCGTCCACGACCGAGCAACCGGGAACTAGCACCCACGCGATAGCAGGAGGGAGGAATGACACGCGCGGCAGATGCGGATGCTGTGCGTGAGCTGGCGGAACTGCGCATGCGAATTGACGCGGTGAATTCGGATGCGAGAGCGATAGGATACGTGCGTCGTCCGCTCTTCTTTCTCGGTGGCACTCACTACCACAGACACTCGACACGTTTGACGTGGGCGGCAAGAACCCGTTGCGCGCGCTGGCTGCCATCGACGACACGATGCGGGACTTGGGCGAGCTGCAGGCGGCACATTATGCCATGCAGGAACGAGTGGTTGGGGATGTTGGCGAGAAGGAGGTCCAGGACTGGATAACGGAGCAGAGAGAGAGGGCAGAGACGGCGGGTGTGGTCGAGAACGGTGAAGGCAAAGCGGATGGGGACAGGGAAGAAAAGCACCGAGAGGAGACTGTGGTGAAGGGGAAAGGGAAGGAAAAAGAGAACCCGAAGCCAAGCTGGAAAGAGAAAGAAGAGGCTCCAACCCCGGCAAAGGCCAAAGCGCCGGTGAAGGCGAAGCCTAAAAAGAAAGGCACAAGGGCCAACATTACCAGGGAGGCGCTGATGAATGTACGTGGCCGCTTTGCTGCAGTCTCAAACTGACCTCGCCAGACGGTTTTACCCCCGAAAAAGCCAACCAAGCTACGCCCTCGGGCCGAACCACCTATACCCCCAACGCTCAGGCCACGCAAAGCGGGCGCCGTGGCCACACCTGTTGTGTCGCCGACGTCTGACACAGTAGCCCCACCACTACCGGAAGGGTTCGATACGTGGACAGCGGTATACGCGGTCCCACAAATGCACGTGGTTGCGAAGGCACAGGCACGGGCAGACCTCAAGACATGGCCCCAGGCCAGCAGCGGGCACGTAACGGTCCCGCTTGTCCCTTGCGCGCGGTGTTCCCAGCTAGACATTCCATGTCTCGTTGTCGACGCGCGGGGAAACAAAAGCTGCATTGCGTGCCATGACAAGACCAAGGGTGCCCATGTCGTATGCATTGCGGGGGGGAAGGCCGCGAAGCTGCATAAACTGGCTGGTAAGTTGTTCATTTTGCTTCTATATATTTGTCTCACTGGATAGATGCTGTTGCGGACTTGCACAACTACGCCATTGCGCGCGGGGAGCAGCCTGGCGTATGGATGGGCGAGGATGAGCCGCCACTGGAGCTCCCAGAAACGGAGCCAGAGACAGCGCCAGTCAAAATGGAACCTGCCGCATCGCCCAAGATAGACACTAAGCCCCGGCTACCAGCCCGGGCAGCCCCCACTACAGACACCCCACAGGCTACGACCTCACGGCTGCGTAAGCGGCCACATGAAGAGGTAGACGACCCCGCCGACTCTGACTTCCCATCCCCTCCCGCGGGCGTCAAGTCCTGGCCTGCACTCTATGCTTCAGGCAGTATGCCGAAGCTTGCAACGGCGGAGGCGCGTCCGGACCTCGGTGACGACCGGATCAAAATCGGCGTGACCAACTATGGGTATGTCGCTGTCGCGCCACGGCCCTGTCGACAGTGTGTTCAGCTCGATGTTCCGTGCCTCCGGCTGCACGATCCTGCCGCTGCACCGCGTGGAGGCAGTTGTGTTCTCTGCGCGATATATCGGCCATCGAGGCTGCTGGTAGAGGACTATAAGCCGATGTGCAGGGTGATGGAGGACGCGGAGCCGCATCAGTATGCTGGTGGGTTTATCTTGTGTCTCTCGAGGTTGAATCTGAAGCATGACAGCGGCCGTTGCGAAGTACCATAACTATGCAGTGGGGAAAGGACGCCGGCCGGGGCGGTGGATGGGCCCCGGGCAGCCGCCGTTTGAGGGCCATTTGCCGACGCGGAAGTGGGGGAGGCCGTTCGAGCGCGCGAGGGTGTTTGCGGCCTATGAAAAGGAGGATGGGAAGGGTGAGGAGAAGGCCAAGGGGAAGGAGAAAGGCAAGGAAAAGGAGCCCGCGAGGAAAAAGGCGAAGCGGTGAGATTGACTGAGTGTGTTTCTTGTTTCTCGTAATTTTATTTGTGTCTTTGGTAGTGTATGTAAGTGGTGGAACGGTCCACCGTCCTTCATCCCACCGTCGTCGAACCCACGCACCGGTTTAAACCAACCAAAACAATGCTTCCAACTCTCCCTCTCTTTGCACTGCTCCTTCCTGCTGCCCTCGCTGGCGCTAGCGCTGTCCCCGGTGCCCGCACGAGAAGACCCCCAGCAAGGCCGTCGCGCCTTTGCCTTCCTGGGCCGTGCAGATGAGACCGACCTCGCTCCGCCCCCTCCGGAGCAGACCGACCTCGCGCCGCCCGGCCCGCCTCCCGAAGACCCCCAGCAAGGCCGTCGCGCTGCCGTCGTGCGCAGGCAAGAGGAGGACCCCGGCCAGGGCGGCGAGGAGGACACGAACCCCGGTGAAGGCGAGGAGGACCCGAACCCAGGTGAAGGCGAAGAAGGCCCCGGGGGCCGCAAGGCGTAAGGTGCACAAGAGGTGAGTTCCTTGCCACCATTGGACAGCACACTTGAACTCAGACGCAATCAAGGAAAGCCACTTTGGCCCACGCCTGCCGCGTGCTGGCCCGCGTGTAGGCAAGAAATGGAGGGAAAGTTTCATTTTTCAAAGATGTCTGCGGAGAGCATAAGTAGTAACTGAACAATACTGTAGTATTTTACTCAATCCGAATGCCATTTTCGGCATGACATCACATACGAAGTTCGCAATTCGTATAATGGCATCAAATTGCCTAATTAGGCAACTTTCGGCGCCGCAGGCGCGGAAAATTGGGATAAATTACCATTTTGGGAAGGGATTTTGGAAGATTTGCTATGACATACGAAAAAATTTCACATAAATTGACAGGTGTGACATGTGACATGCGAATTGAGTAAAATACTACAGTATAACTACGGTCACTCACATCATATTTTTTTGTTGTCTTCTGCTTGAGTTGCGGCATTGAAGGGTGGAACTCAGCCGTTATAGCGGCCCAGTTTTGAAAGTACGGCGGCCCATAGATTCCAGTGCCTCACACTAGTGCTCGTCTTGAACTGTCTTCTGCAAGCAACGACTCATGATGCATTCGAGTCGACTCCGAGTCCGCTGAACACCGGGAGCTAGGCTCTTGCATAACCTCCGGCGTCTTGTACAGGTTGTCTGTATGCCTATGAAAGGCGCGCACAGACCCCTTGGCTGCGAATCTACACGTCGGCCACCAGATATGATGGGAGGGAGCAAATGCACTAGCGCCGGTTCGATCCCCAGTCTGGTGCCATCCTGGCGGTCCAAGGCAATCCTTTACACTTTTTACCACTTACTACTCATTGGAGATCAACTCTTTGTGAAACTTTTTTTTTCGAAAGAATTTATGTTACTCTTATATTAAGGAGATGTCATGTGAATGTATGCACATGTTTGGCACTGGCCTTAGCAATTCATTTGCTCCACATTTCCATTTTTGGGGTCACTGCTGTTAATGTCCCAAATTGGTATCAAAAGCTGTAAGATGTGACCACTCCTTATTGAGATACAAAGCTGTATATTATATCTTATACCCAGTACCAGAAACACATTATATCCAGGGCTATCTACTATGCTGACACATAAGTATGTACTAAGTACTCTCAATTTCCACACAAATTAAAAGGTAAGTATATAAAGTTTGCTGACTTGGGTTGCAATCTATAATCTGTAATTAGTGGGATTTCTTTTACAATTAGGAATTTACTTTATACAAGTAATATTCAAAGCTGGGGTGTAGCCCCAGTGTCAGGGGAAACCCTGATGCCGTCACTTGATCCCATCAAGCGCCGCGTCTCCGCTCGCGTCTCCGCGTCTCCGCTCGTGTCTCCGCGTCTCCGCACCCTGACGCTCTCCCCTCCACTGCCCGCACCACATCCCATATCCAGTGATCCTCAGTCTTCGACTTCCCTGGCCACCCCTTTCCGGGAGTCTCTCCGCCGGCGGAGTCACCATCAGGGATCACTAATGCCATCGGAGACCTCTCCGGATGTGGACGCACCACTTCCCTCCGAGACCTTGAGCCTATGGCCTTCTAGCCTCTCTGGGCTGTCACTTATCAAGGTCTCCCTACGATCTCTACCTGCTGGACCTCTTGGGTGTCCCCAACCCATGTCAGCGTTCGGGCTTATGTTCGGATGGCTGAGCCTTGCCATGGCTCCGCTCTCCACTCCGCCACCACGGCCCCCGTCATCGGGCCTTCCCCTGGGTGAGGCCTACTGCCGTTAAGGCTCGTGCCTACTGCAGCGCCCCAGGCTGCACGCCCTCACACCTCCACCTCTCTGGAGACGTCCGGGGACGTCTCCGAGTGACCCTCCTGTCGCTACCCTCCAGTGGTCATGGCTGGCCGCCATTCCCATTGGTCCTCTCCGACACTCCCCGGCCCTTAGGCTAGACCAGACTCCTTCCCTTTCCGCTCCACGCCTTTCCTCTCCGTTTCCGGCCGTCACGTCACGGTCACACGCCCGGAGTCGATTCCGATTCCGGTTGTCACGGTCACGGTCACAAGCGGAGACGCTCAGAGGCAGCCTGGACCTCCCGAAGCCCTTCTTAGGCCTTCTAAGGATGCCTGGGCTCCTCCCTTGGCATCACGGTCCCAAACCTGCCTCTCCGGAGCTTCGAGGGCTACTCGACACTCACCTAGGGTCCATTAGCGACACCTGACTTCTCCCATGCGTCGTTCGCTATGCAGTCACTCTATCATTACTCCGGTCACTAGTATATAGTAGTGCACCTGAGCAGAGGGCTCCTTGGCTTGTTCTCTAAGGATTCCCCCTCTGCTCAGGTGAGTCTGTAGCGTCCCTTCCTGTTGTAGTAGTTCACTAAGGATTCCCCCTCTGCTCAGGACTCTGATTTCGAGCCTCGCGAGGTTGCCCTTACAGCAGAACAAGCCTACCAATACGGACCTCACCTCCCAACTCCCTGCCAGGGCCCGCAGTCTCTGACGCCCCCCTGCCGGTAACCTGGAGGTGGCCTCCGGAGGGGCTGCATGCAGGAGGATTCTTGGTGGATTGCGACAGATGGCTCCGTCCCGGCCCCACCCGACCTTGCGCTGCACAGCCCCAGCCCCCTTCGAACACTTTGGTCCTCGTGAGGCCTCAATACTTCCTCCTGCCTGGCCCTTGGTGTTCTCCTCCGGCCGTGGTTTAGCTTTCCCATGCCCCGCGCCCTATGGCCCCGGGCTGTCCTGAACCACTTCCGGACCCCCTTCCCCCCCGATTCCGACCGTGGCCCCGCCTTCCTTCCCTCCACCCATGGCTAATGCTGGCCTCTCCGGCCACCGCTCGTCTGTCCCTAGCCGTTCCTGCTGCCAGCCACCTGTCGGAATGGGCTTCCCCTGCCATGCGGAGCGCCCTGATGGCATCAAAACGACTCCGGATTCCGATTCCGATTCCGATTCCGCTTTCCCGCGGTTGTCGCTGCGATGGCCATTACCTCTGCATGCTCCCCACTCTTACTGCCAAAGATGCTGACCATAGTGTCTTTGCTGGTGCGATGACCTTCCCTTCTGCACCTTCTGCCATCACCACACACCTCGCCTCTGTCTCTTGCTCAAACCGCACCCCCCACCACGACATTATGTGACCACCCAGATTTTGGCAGACATGTGACAACTCCACCAGAATTTGGGCGGCACATGATCCCTGGAGCGATTCCGGGGGGCACCTCCGGAGACCTTTCCGCTGATGCTGTCATCGTGCCTTTGACATGAGACCGCTCACACCCCGAGCAAAGGCTCGGCCCCCTTGGGAGGCAAGTCTCCCACACTCCATCACCCGTGTTCCCCTACGCACGTGTCTCCGCGGGCTTCACAACCCGGCCCCGATTCTCATCGGACTAGCTGGGTGACCTTCCCTACGTGTCCGGCTCGACGCGTCCAGTTCGACTCTGGACCTTGGGATAACCACGAGATGGCTGATCCCTTTGATCGGCTTGCGACACCTTGGCATGACACCACTCGTTGCCGCCCCGCTAGGTTCTGGGCGTGGCCTACTGCCGTATAGGCCCGTGCCAGATGCGAGACGACGAGTCCGCTCGCCTGGGGCCGCCCTACTAGGCCACAAGTGGCAGGTGCTGAGTCGGAGTGCCGACTTTCCCCCTCACCCTCCGGAGACGGACTCCACCCCACAATGTCATTCACATGGCATTGGAGTTCATTTAGCACACCCTCCCGGAGACGTCTCATACGTCTCTGGTGTCAACATAGCTGCCCCGGAGGGTACCCTTGCCTTAGAGGATCCACCATGGTGTTACCTAGGCAGTCACTGCAGTTCAGGGCTCTGCAGGTGCCCCTTCCGCTCATGGGACCCCTCTCCGCTTTCCGCCCGTCACGTCACAGTCACACGCTCGGAATCGCGTTTCCGTTTCCGGTCGTCACGTCACGGTCACGCCACCAGCGGAGATGCTCAAAGGGTCCCATTGTACAGCCGGACCCCGAACAATGGAATCGCTTCTGGAATGCCTACGTCAACCCGCCTCTGCCGCACAACTAGGATGGGTCGAGCTGTTGCCACCCAGTCCGCAACACTAGGCTTAGTGCCCCGGCTGACAGCGCAGTGTCCGGAGTCACACTGCAATTCCTTTCCCCCAAACCTGACATCTGGGTGCAGTAAAAGTGAGCTCGCCACTCGCTATGCTATCACCCCATGGCAAGTCATTTGCCGCCCAACGATCTCCAACAACCAGTAGAGATGGTCGGAATCGCCCTGTGACGTCACAGGCGTTTCCGGTCACGCTCGGAGACGTTTCCGGGCACAAACGGAGACGTTTCCGGAGGTGTACTTGGTGCCTTGGCTAAGCGCAGACCCCCCCCTTTTTTTTTTTCTGTGGTGCGTCGGGGGCGCCGCACTCTTGAAGGGGGGATGGAGGAGGTATAGGAGGGGACTCGCAGAGGACCCTCCTGGAGCAACATGCGACCAGAGCGCAAGCGGGCGCACACCGAAGCTACGCAAAGGTGTAGTTGCACCATCTCTCGGAGAGGCACCGGGACCGCAGGTCTCCGGGGCGTCTCCGAGTATGGGCGCGAAACCAGTGGAGAACGCAAGTACTCCATGGGTTGACCTTGGCAACAGCAATCACTGGAGCAACGCCAAGGTACCGTCACACTGGCTCTTGGAGATGGACAGTCTCTGGACATCGACAGAGACAGGAGCTTGGCCACTGGAGGACAAGGGACTCCGGAGGACGAGCTCAGTGACCCCCGATTTTTTTCCTGCATCGGGGCGACGCAGCTTGAAGGGGGATGATGTCAGGGGAAACCCTGATGCCGTCACTTGATCCCATCAAGCGCCGCGTCTCCGCTCGCGTCTCCGCGTCTCCGCTCGTGTCTCCGCGTCTCCGCACCCTGACGCTCTCCCTCCACTGCCGCACCACATCCCACATCCAGTGATCCTCAGTCTTCGACTTCCCTGGCCACCCCTTTCCGGGAGTCTCTCCGCCGGCGGAGTCACCATCAGGGATCACTAATGCCATCGGAGACCTCTCCGGATGTGGACGCACCACTTCCTCTCCGAGACCTTGAGCCTATGGCCTTCTAGCCTCTCTGGGCTGTCACTTATCAAGGTCTCCCTACGATCTCTACCTGCTGGACCTCTTGGGTGTCCCCAACCCATGTCAGCGTTCGGGCTTATGTTCGGATGGCTGAGCCTTGCCATGGCTCCGCTCTCCACTCCGCCACCACGGCCCCCGTCATCGGGCCTTCCCCTGGGTGAGGCCTACTGCCGTTAAGGCTCGTGCCTACTGCAGCGCCCCAGGCTGCACGCCCTCACACCTCCACCTCTCTGGAGACGTCCGGGGACGTCTCCGAGTGACCCTCCTGTCGCTACCCTCCAGTGGTCATGGCTGGCCGCCATTCCCATTGGTCCTCTCCGACACTCCCCGGCCCTTAGGCTAGACCAGACTCCTTCCCTTTCCGCTCCACGCCTTTCCTCTCCGTTTCCGGCCGTCACGTCACGGTCACACGCCCGGAGTCGATTCCGATTCCGGTTCCGATTCCGGTTGTCACGGTCACGGTCACAAGCGGAGACGCTCAGAGGCAGCCTGGACCTCCCGAAGCCCTTCTTAGGCCTTCTAAGGATGCCTGGGCTCCTCCCTTGGCATCACGGTCCCAAACCTGCCTCTCCGGAGCTTCGAGGGCTACTCGACACTCACCTAGGGTCCATTAGCGACACCTGACTTCTCCCATGCGTCGTTCGTCGCTATGCAGTCACTCTATCATTACTCCGGTCACTAGTATATAGTAGTGCACCTGAGCAGAGGGCTCCTTGGCTTGTTCTCTAAGGATTCCCCCTCTGCTCAGGTGAGTCTGTAGCGTCCCTTCCTGTTGTAGTAGTTCACTAAGGATTCCCCCTCTGCTCAGGACTCTGATTTCGAGCCTCGCGAGGTTGCCCTTACACCCAGCCTGGTCTAGTATTGGTATATGTATGTGTGTAGGTATCTACTGTGTCATTTTATTTAGTTCATCAATCACATATCACACGCACCTTAATCTGACGAATTTTTTCAGTCATGCTTATCTACCAAAATTTTACCCCAGAGATGTCCAAATAAGGAAATTTTCGTTCTGTTGGCGCCAGAATTGCCTAATGGGGACAGCCTGACAAATTGCCAAGTTTGTCAGGCATGTCACAGCCTTTGGGCCATGATGAATTGATTAAAATGCAACAGTACCTGGAACCCTCAAACACACATGGCAGTTTAATATGTTCACTTTATATACCTGATACTAGGCCTGTGACAGGTGTGCTATCCAAGCTCATGGGCCTGAAAGTATATAGATATAAGTATGGGGGTTGTGAACCATAGAGTATCTTATAAGAATCTTGAATGCCCCCCTTTTGCAGGCCAGTAAAAATTCTGGAATGGCCTAGGATTTCGCCAACAGCTGGAAGAGCAGGTAAATTTCTGATGACTAAGTCATTAACCTTGTATCTCAGTATAAAGGTCTAATGTATACAGGCATACCTGGATCCCATGGATCAAATGACAGTTGTGAGAGAGATGCCATGATGCATCAAGGTCTCTACACCCCCAACACCAGGTTATATCAGTCTGATGTAACCCAATGAGATCAGTATAATATCAGTATTAAAAATCACAATGACTTTATATAGAAATCTGACTGATATTTCCTGGCTGATATCAGGCTGAGGCATGCAACACTCTCAGTCTGAAGTTAAAAGAAACATTTTTGTGATGTTGGGCTTGAGATTATGCAAAAGTCATAATGATATTATAGCACAAAGCTGATGGCTCTGAAAAGAAAAGTATATATCTATGGATTAGCTTTGTGTCTCTTCGGATTTCTCTGCCTGCTCTCCTGTATTGCCCTACCCCGCTTTCCACCTTTATCCTTGGGAATATAATCATTGTCATCACTGTCATCAGTCGTGTCTGACTCTGATTCTGACTCTGGCAAGTCCTGCTCCTCCTCCTCCTCCACAGGTTTTGCAGCCTTTTGTTTCTTTTTCTTAGCTGCTGTCTCTCGTTGCTTTGCTGTTGCCTTTTCGCGTGCAGTTGAGCGTGCTGACTTTGCTTTTTGAGCCATTTCATGATGGAATTGACGACGATTGAGCTGAAGCGGTCGAAGGTTGCAAAGTGCGGGAGGTAGGACCCGGAGAAGCTCAACAAAATTGTGAGTGGAACCCATGTTCAGCACAAATTTGTCGTCATCAATATGCTTGATGAGGGAGATATCTCGGACTGTTTCTTGGCGCTCTTGGCGCTCCTTGCCCATCACCGCCGGCTGACAGCCTCCAAGGCGACAATCATGTTGAACCGAGCAGCTGAACTCCAGTTGAGACCCAGGAACCACAAGGTAGGAGGTGAGTAGGTCTTCTGTGATTTCAGTTCCTGTCGGACGTCGGACAACCGGCCAATCGAACTCGGGATGACGCTGGGTAGTACAGACAAACTGTTCGAGAGTCACCCAGGAGCGGCGAGTATCCCGCGAAAGGATTTCGGCAACCCTCCCCAGAACCAACTTATTATTTGGATTTCGGACGAAAAACCCAAGTGCCAATTTGTGCTTGGTCTCCAGTTTTGGTGGTGACAGAGTTTCCTTGGCGCCATTCGCCCTCTGGTTGGACTTGATTGGGATGGCACCCTTGCCAGTGCTTAGCAGCTACAGTGGAGTCCCACGGAATCGGAGGGAATTTGTCCGCGGCAAGAAGACGGGTGAGACCAGGAACAGCCTTGGCATGTGTCACCCATCCAAGATGCCGCTGCAGGTTAAGATCATCTGCCAAAATCCGTCGGACCGCTTCACCGGGTTGCAGCCATTCTCGGTGCCATTCAGGAGCCCCTTGCATGCCTGAGCGCTCACGACTGGAGGTAGATTCCCAGAAACCGCCACATAGCGCATGCTTGATGTTATTCATGGTCGAAAACTTGACAGCAATGTCACGACTCGGCGCTTGATGGTTCCCATTGATGGAGCACATCCGAAAAACAGCGTTGTATGATTCCTGGGTCTCTGTAGAAAACCTCACAGCCGGCCCGAATCGTCGAATGTCCTCAGGAAGATGAGGCAAGAGATGCAACTTGATTTTGACAAGGATTCTCAGCGGCTCAACGGCGTCCCACGCATCTAAGACATTTGCGATTGCGATCTTCAAATCAACAATATATGCCTCAATGTCATCAATTACCGAGATCCACACGCGGGCACCAAGATCCGCCGCAGCTTTAACAAGCTGAAATTGAACGGGCGTACAGATTTCGTGCGTGTGGAAGGTGAGCGCTTGCATTATAACCTTGAAGTGCTTCCCGATCAAGTTATTCCGATACTGCATCATGTATGCACCACGGACTGGGGGAACATTCATGCCGCTAATATCAGTTGATTGTAAACGGATGGCAAGTAGTTGCCTGTCAACATCTGACCATTGTTGAGTGTTGAGATGATGCCAGATATACTTGATGACGCCCAGAAGAATCGTGTGCAGAATTTCGACAGGAGTGTCCCGAGCCGGATCAAGACCAGTAATATCCAAAAGAGGGTTCATCTTGTCGCCAGGTTGCTGATCCAACCACATTTGTGCCTCTCTCTTCGCATCTGTGGCCGATATACGGGGATTCTCTTGCTTCAGCTTGGCGACCTGGACAAGGACACGCTCGATCCAGTACTGGGTGAGCTTGTCCTTGGTGCCGGTTTCTCGTTGACGTTTTTCTATCGCAGCTGCGCTGCCAGTCATTGCAAGCGCTAACTGCTGCTCAAGTTCGGACCGAATGTCCGCCGCTGTTCGGGAAATTCCTGGCTCATGGCAAGCATGATATGTGTCGGATCCCACCTGGTCGGCCTTTGGTCCTCCCCACTTGCACTTTCGGCAAGGAAACAAGCCGTTGCAGCCAATGTGGCTTGCCTCCTCAGATTGTTGGGGATTGTCAGCATCGTCGTCATGAACGCGTACGACCACTGCAGCTTCCCGTCGTGTGTTGGCATTGTAACAGATGATAGGGCTTATCTCGGTTCCCTGCACGAAATCTCGCAAAACCGCGGACAACTCTGCGGTTGTGACATGCTGGGAGGCACCCGAGAAGTGGACGTGAAACTCCTGTTTGAGTAGCTGACCAGGAAGTGCGGTGTTTTGCATTACCATGACGAGGAATTTGTTGTATTGTTTCGATTTGTTGCCGGAAACATCGTCGATCCAAACACTGATGCCAAGCACATACAGATCACGGTCGCCACTTATTTCGCGAAATGGGGTTGGCATTGCGGCAATGAACTCCCTCGAACGGTCTGTCCATGTCAAGTGGAAGTCGGATCCGAACTCCGTGCGAAGCCGATCAAAATCAGCTTCGAATGACGTGGCCATCACCTCTTGCTCCTCGCCACCACAGTCCCAAACACCCTCTGCGTCTCGGGCGACGATATACACGTCGGAGGTGAGATTTCCGTTCCGTCGGATCCACGTCTTTGGAATAACGAACCGCCCATCATGCAGCCGCGCGAGCTCATTGATCCACCAGCGACATTGCCCATTCGAAAACATGGGTGTGAGCTGGTCGGGCGTCATAATCGAATGCGCGCTCCGCCTGCCAGCGCTCCGACATTGGTCCGCTTCCAACGTCTTCGGGATACAGGTTCAAATGTGGGGCAATAAGAGGGTTGGCAAAGTCGCGAGCGATGGCCTGACGGAGGTTGCTGGTGTAAAAGACGTTGCCCTGCGGCGTTTGGACCTTGACAGGTGTGTTCCCGAAACCCTCGTGGACCTGCTTTTGAATTTTCCGCAAGGTTTTGAGAGATGGGATATTCTGCACACCGAGCCGCTTCATCATGTGGAGCACGAGAGTCATTTGTGCGCCAGTAAATCGACACCGTGGCAGATTATCCATGACGTCTAGCAGAAGTATCTGTTATCGATGCACGTCAATGAAGGGCCTTTGACTTTACTCCACTGCTTACCGTTTCGTTTGGCCAAGGGAAGAAGCCCGAGTCTTTCTGCGGCACTGTTGTCCCGATGTCGTCCGGCTCCATCTGCTGTTCAAAATCCTCCTGGTCGACGTCGTCAACTTCTGAGTCATTTATCCACTCGCGTTCCAGTTCTTTCGCCAGAATTCGCTCGAACTCTTGATCCAGCAACAGTCGTCGTTCCTCTGGTGATATTGACGAACGAAGGCGTTCTTTCTCGACCTCCTGGTTCGCCAATGTGTCAGCAATGTGCTGGAAGTCTCGCAATGGTGGGTTCTTGTCGTGCAGGGGAGGTGAGGGAGGTATCATCGGTGGCGGATGGGGACGTATGGGCTGGGTGTCGAATTCGCTGTTGTATTCGATGCGAGCGGCAAGGTGGGCTTCCTCAATATCCTCAAACTGCTGGGCCTTCTCTCGTTTCCGAGCCTCTGCGGCTTCTACACATGCACGATGCATGGGTCCTTCAAGATGCTGCTTCAAGTTACGTCGCAAGATGGACCCCCTTGATTTCCCAGAAGAGAGACAAACCCTGCAAGAGACGTAATCTGCGTCGGTGGCATGGTCCTCCAGATATTGTTTTTCGTCTAAAAATTGAGATATGTAAGTACAGTGCTTTCAGAATCACGATCCTCTCACTTTCTGGCACAAACCAGGTTTGCTTTCGTGGCATTATGTTCAGTTATTTGTTGATTCTTTCAGTGCAGATGTGACGAAGGGTGACGCGACGTGACACGACTCGGCACGCGTTCAATAAAAGGGTTTCGGTGGTGTGACACCGTCACTCTTCCATCATCCTTTCCACTCTCCATGCCGACACTTCTCGAAATTGGCCGCCAAAAGCAGCGCGCAGCAGCTGCTGCTGCTGCACAGCGCTCCGAAGAACAGAGCCTTATCCCGCCATCCGATGATAACAGAGGAGAGCTGCCACCTTCCAGCCCGCCAGTCTTTCACTCCTCGTCGCCTGGTCACGTTGATTCCGACGACTTGCCAGTGCCATCCCAACTGGTGGTGGCAAGTCTTTCCGCGAGTCGTGTTCCTGACTTGACTGGCTTTGCCGAACACCAGCTGAAGCGTATCAAGTTGAGCCATGACACGGAGCGCGACTACAGGCTTTTGTCTGCGGTGAGCATTCTTGAATACTTAACATCAATTGAAGGTCTCATCTCTGTCAGACAACGAACGCACATGAGCGTCAAAACCTTCACGCTCTCGCCGTCTTCCAACTCCTCGACAAAGTCAACGAAATGAACGAAAATTACAAGGCCTCGAAAGCGCAAGAATACGAGAAAAACTCTGAAGTCAGCGTGCGTGTCCATCTTATCATGGGTCTTTTGGCAACTGACACGACTATCATAGGCCGAAATTCGCAATTTCAGCCGCGGATTCCTCCTCAATCCTGATCTCGCTTTCTATGGTGCCGATAGCACACTCAAAGTCGATGTCATTGTTTGTCTTCGCTGCTCATGTTCACTGGGAAACAATTAACCTCATTTCCAGGGTGCGATGCATAAGGAAGGAGTGGCTGGTTTGCCACCAATCAACTCTTCCAATGCCATCAAGAAGAAGTTCGAGGCTGCGGTCGGGCACCAGATCTCAGTTGATCGAAACAAGATTAAAGAGACGGTATGTTGTTATTTCTTCAAGATGGTATTGTGCTGAACCAATTCAAGCTTGCGGCTACTCTCGAACCCGATGCAGAAGAGACTGATCTCGCCACTGTCGCGAGTAGTCTGATCGCCAGTTGGCGTATCGATATGCCACTGACCCTTCCGCTACTTTGGCGAATGGCCCTTATTGTGTGTGCTCCTCATCCAGAGATTGCCTGGTACTGATCAATTTGTTAGCGCCGTCAGCTTATCGAGGAGCCCGGGACTCCAGACGACTTTTGGGAAGGCATCGACGCTGCATTACATTCGTGCCGAAAGGATGCGGCAGGGACACTTGTCTTGTCTGTTTTTCGTTATTTTCCTTATAGGTCATGCTCATCCTTCTTTAGTGCACTTCAAGAGACCTTCAAGACTGACATCGAGCGTTTTGGGGGTATCCCGAACGAGGTCCAGCTTGCAGCTGACATTGGACCGCAAAGTCCTGCCTGGCTTCAGCGGATCAGCAAGATGGCGCCGAAGGTAGACTGTCCGAGAATTGTGAACCCGGCGAAGGCAAAGGGGAGGAAGGCGCAGAAAAGGAAGTGTACAGAGACTGACCTCGACCCGATTGTTGAATAATAGTGCTGAGTATGTCCATATATAGAAGTTTTTAATAGCTTTTTGAAAAAAAAAAAATATATATATAAAATATAAAATATAAAATATAAAATAAACACAGCTTTTGTCCTACACCTGCTTGATTACTTCTCTTGAAACCTCAACTCAACTTAGTTGTGAATGTCTCTCTGAGACCATGATGAGACTCATGGTATATCATCCATAAAGTCAAAGGAATGTCAAGTCTCGCATCAATTGATCATCAGATGATTTACTGTTTAAATTTAGTCCTGATATCACCATGTACTTAGACTGATATTATGAACTAACATCCTATAATATTTTTCACTGATATTCTCCTGATGTCACCCAGGATTGGGGGTGTAGCTCAGACCCACCGTGATGCATCATGGCACCTCTCTGGAGGTAATCAGCCACCCCGCCTGCCTTGCTTCCTGCCTGCTTCCCGCCCACGCTTTCCCGCCCACGCTTTCCCGCCCGCCCGCCTGCATTGTGCTGACATGATGTAGATGATATAACTATGTGTGGCTATTCTCTGGCCATCTAGTGTTGCCGCGAGTCGAGTTCGAGTTCGACTTGAGTTGATGGCTCATCAGACAACTCGCGAGTTGACTCGGCTTGGCTTCCTTGATTTAGCAGTCACACATGATAGATTAAGTACACAGATTAGATATGTCGTAGTAGATTAGTTCTAAGTCATTATGATGCTTTGAGAGGCCGAAGCCCCTCTCGTAGTGTATCGACCCCTCCGTTCACCTCCAGACTCTCAGTTTCTTCATTCGACAGTGCCAGCATGGCAACAACATCATCGTCGTGCAGATCATTCATGAAGTGCTCGGGCTTCTCTCGCTCACTGCGAATTCGGTACTTGAGGATCTGTAAGTACTCCATAGTGTGATTCGATAGCTGATTCCGCTTCAGAGAATCTGTTTCTTTACTGGAGGAAAAAACGCGCTCGCATGGCACAGCCGATGCTTGACACGGCATGAGATCAAAAGCCACCTTCGATAAAAGTGGATAATGCTCCCGAATGCGCTGTTAGTTTTGTTAGTGCAGATAAGACTGAGAGCTGAGTAAATACCTGAGAATTGTAGTACCCCACAAGATCAAAGCTGTCGAGAACCTTGGCATCCTTGATAATACCCTCCTCCTCCCAGTGATTGATTTCGGTGTCAACTAGCTCGGCATCCTTCTGACTTGCAAGGTGTTCCTGCTCCTCGCTATCCTCAATTTCGGGCGCCTGACTTTCCTGAGACAACTCCGATGACAAACTTGATGTGCGCAAGAGGTCGGCTTTATATTGTCGTAGACGCGCTAACCCACTTGCAAGTGATCGCGCAGCTGGAGTCTGGTAATGGGAGGGCTCTGGGGATGTAGTGGGAGGAGATGGGCTTTTGGCAGCCTCTTCATGATGGCGCTCGTCCTTCCGGAAGGCAAGCATCTGTGATAATTTGAGTGCGGACCCAGTAATGCCGCTGATTACATACTGCTTCCCGTAGCACTGCTTTGGCGCTAGCGATATCCGATGTTGTTCATCCAAATTCAGCCATTTTAACGAACTTCATGGTTGGATTGATAGCTATGCAGTGATTAGAGAACATGAAGACAGCTCAAAAGATACTTACCCATCGCAAGGCTGTATACTTTTGTACCGCGCGCCCTGAGGAGATACTCGTCAAGTTTCTCCACAGCAGGGTCTAATGCATGGGATAACTTGGGATAGACACGGTGGAGGTCCTCAGCAAGCAGTTGTTGAAGGTTTTTGTAAAGCGGGACCACAATGGATAGTGTTGGTGTCTTCTCGGATGAGGCAATCTCTTGAAGAATATGCGCAGATGACAGCACATGGCGGACATCCCTCAAAACGGCGAGTTGATGGTCGGAAGGTCGGTGATGTTCAAAGTGGTGCACCTCGAAGAACGCTGCAATTGCCAGAAACAGTTCTAGAAATCTATCTATCATGAGGAATGTCGCTGACCAACGTGTCTCGACGTCGGTGAGCAGCAAAACCTCACGAAGCTTGACCGGGCTCAGGGGTAGGCCATCTCGGTCATGCGGAATGAAACCGCCCGCGGCATTTCCACTCCGAATAATTGCCGCAAAGCTTGCTCGTCGTTCTCCAGATGCACGAGTAGTGTTGATGGCACTCTTCACGATCTTGATCAGATCACTTTGCAGCGCATCGTAGTAGTCGAAGTCGGCCAGCAGCTCATCTGATGGCGGAAACCAAGTGGATGCCTTAGCAGCGGCCATGTCTGAAGATATTCAGATGGCGCAAGAATGTCTTGATGATAAGGTTGACAACATGAGGGAAACAGCTGGCTTCAATAAGTGGACATATGGTAAGAGCACGTAGAAACAAACCGAATCCGATTCTCGTCTCGTTCAAACGGGATTCCCAGTGAGACTAGCTCCCGCTCCAGTTCCTCCATGCACGTATTATTGTTGGATGCGTTATCCAGCGTAATCGTCGATATTTTTGTCAGCCTACCAATGTCTGTGATAATTTGCCGCAAATACGACGCGATGTTAATGCCTGAGTGGTCACCCTCGACTGCGCGGAAAGCCACAAGCAAAGAGCGTAGCACAAGGTGGCCGTTAACCCATGTGAGCCAGTGGGCCGTGACTGCCATAAAGCCGGTAAGATTGCGACTCCACCAGATGTCGGATGTAAACGAGACACGCCCAACCGCATTCTATGACAAATTAGACAATAAAACCTGAAAACATCTAAATGATACCTTCAGTTCTTCAATTAGTTGCTTGTACTCGCTACGAAACAGCTCCTCCATTGCCTCCGTGACCTTTGTTCGGTGTGGAATATCGCTGTCATCGAGCTCTTGGCCCAAGTACAACAACAGCTCACGAAACTCAGGGCAATCTACAATGCGCAGAGACTACAGCAAATAAGTTAACAACATAAGCATGAGAGAGAGATGGCAGACCTGATCATCAACCGCCATCCATCGCAGCAGTCACAAGATTAACCCATCAATAGTGAAAGGCTCTTGAATCCGCTTGGGAAGTGGCGGAGGCTGACACAGCACGGCTTCCCACCCTTTTAGTTTGTGCTGGATGACAATGTTCTTCCAATCCTGCTCGTGATGAAGCTTGAAATGACTTCGAATATTCCCGGTTGTGCTGCTTGCGTCGTTTTTCCATGTCTGAAGTTTGCCAGCACTGGCACTAGTTGTCGTCAGTTGGGGCCCATGAATAGATTGAAACACGAACCAGAAACGACATCGTAGCCGCGAGAACTTCTTGCGCGATGGAGGCTCCCTCGATGGAGTGCTCTCTGCTGCTGGTTCGACTGCACCGGGAATGGTTGCGGAAATATTCATCCCATCAACGCAAAACCAGACATCGGTCGCACTTGTTCCGTCTTGAGAAACCTTGTCATTCTCCACTGCTGACCCAAAGGCAGTCGAAAACCCTGCTGGAAGTGGTGTCTTGGGAGCAGAGCTTGGTCCAACAGCAGTTAATAGAGACGCTGCAGTTGGTGCTGTGGTTGGCACGTTTTCCTGGCGCACGCGCTTTCGTGAGTTGGCTGAGGCTGGTGCTGCACGCGTTCGTGTTGCCTGACTGGTAGAATTCTGAGTCGGAGCCGGAGAGTGGGGCATGGGGGTGTAGTTGTTGATTCGGAAAGCGGCATGTGTCCCTAAATTGGTGAGTGCAGCGAATGGCAAGGAGCTGGATTGGACGGATTGCCAGTAAGATGGGTTGACTGAAAACAGCGACGGTGACGACAGTTGCGGCGCATAGGATTGTGCTGGTGGTGGCACATGTAGACCATAGTGAGGGGGTGGGTATCGTGAATTCGGATCCGGAGTTGCTGGTGGATGCGCTATCATACAAGGTCAGTAGTCAGTCCACAAAGAATGATCGAGACACACCGTAGTTTGCCCAAGGTGTACTCCCATCTATAGCTCCACCCGATATTGAAGCGGGCTCTGCCCCTTGAAAGCAAAAACACAGTCCACCGGTGGGGCAGCCGCAAGCACGGCGCTCAAACAAGTCCATCCAGCAGCCGTAAGTCGATGTCGAGCCGCATAGGCCTTTATACCTGGGCGTGAAATGCAGAAATGCGCCATGAAACATTCCTGCACATGCTCAGGAACTGTTTCCCGGAGGCTGGTAACCAATGTTAGAGTAGTAGTGCGGGGAGTGGCTGATAAAACACACCTGGGTGCATCAACAGCATATCAAACATACCTTTCCCCTCACCCAAACCCTAAGCGAACCCTAACCAAGTAAAAACAGTATATTTTAAGTCCGAGTTGACTAACAGTTAAAAGTTCTTGACAGTTCTCTGATCAACAAAGCTTCACCCAGGGCATCAGCAATCATCAACCGCAAAGCTTCATGATAGCTTGAGTTGGGAGATTTTCAGTGGTGATGCATCACTTCCCTGGCCTCTGGTGCAGAGGGTGCTTAAAATGGAAATACTCATCGAACAAGGATTGTGTACCATGCATCAGATAGTGATTCGTTCCATGTGAAATCTGGCAGGTTGGGAGTACTATATGATCTACTCTCTGTCACCAATTCTTAGCCTGAATGCTGCTACAATGAGTAGACTGTACCCACCAATCAAGGTTGCCCAATTAGTTGCTTCAGAAGGCCTAAGCCAGAGACTGGGCTATTGCAATGCTTAGACGTGGAGTTCCATTGCAGTATTGTCGACCTGCTCATTCAGTGCTAGGCTCAAAATGCACCACATGGCCTGAACAGCCAGTCATCCGCGCTGAGATGGCCACTGGGCCATTCTCTGCCAAAACATGCACATCCCCCTGACGCGCCCGACAAGATCTTAAAGCGAATGTTGAAGATCTGGGCCTGGTTCACACCATTTCTGGCACATATGGCTCAGGGTCGGGTGGTGCAGTAGATCAACAGCTATGCCGGGTTGTTGCATGCAGATTGGTTCACAGGCCGATCAGCCTGAAACTCCGAAGTTTGGAGATATCATAGCACCTGTTCTGTAGTGGAATTCACATAGCAGTTCACCTTGTACATGGTCCTCTGTCTGTTGCTCTTCTCTGGCACAGGGCATTGATTTTGCTGAAATACAGGCAGTTGCAACTGCATATCACAAATCTGAATATCAGTTGTTCATCAAGGCTACTTGATGTACACACCTGAATATTTTCAGAATCTTTGAAAATCATTTAAAAATGCCTTTGCCGGTTGTTGAGGACAGCAACAACAAGTACTGATTGTTATGATAGGTGTCGTCAAGCGGTATGTCATGCTGCCATCACATCGTTGATGTCACTCTACTTGCCGAGAGATTTAGAGATGGAATGATGCATTAAAGGCAGGTCTAAGCCACAGACCTTGATTCATCATTCCAGTTCTCTTGTCAGAGACAATGATTCATGTACCTAATATATCCAAAATAAGTGGCAAATTGCCAAAATATATAACAAATCACCCTTATATATGACAAATTGAGGTAATAATAATGTGACACTATTTCTTTGACAAATATTTGGGCTTGAATCATGTGCACTTATTGTTTACAAAACATGGTCTGGAATGGGGTAGGTATTATGTATGTGATATTTAATACTATAATATATGTCACGGATAAGACCCGGCCCGTCCGCTCCGGCGCTGGTGTCGGGCCATCGCAGGCCCGTAGCACGCAGCACGTGACGACGGGGAACAGGCGCCCCAGTAGGAGGAACGCACACGTGGGAAGCACGTGACCGAGAATGACGCGTCGAGCCGTTGCCGAGCCCAACTCGACACAAGGGGACTGGGGAGGAGTGCTAGGAGGTTAGGAGTAGCGTCTGGCCCGCAAGGGATGTACGATCGTCCCCTCTGCGGCCAGGAACGGGGGGCGAGGAGAAGCAGGAGAGGCCAGGGTGTCCGATCACCCCCTTTGCGGGCCCGCGTATATAAGGCGCGATAGTGTACCCTGTACTCTATTGCTTAGATCGTCTAAAGAACTACCTTACTCCGTGCAAGGAGGCAGTACCGACTCATCGGGCCCGACACGACCCGATTCAAACCTTCGACCACCGACAGCGACAAGGGACCGAGTTCACGGGCCCTTTCGGTTTCGATCTACCCCGCCCGCCGTATTTGCGGGCCCGACTATCCGTCTGTTCTGTTCCGGGCGTGCGTTCTTAGGAGGAGTCCTTGCACGGCCCAACCCGAAGTCTGACAATATAGAACTTGATTTCTTGTAAATCAGATACAATTTTTGCAGCTTTTAATATTTATTGCATATCAATCAAAGGAGCGAAAAAGGCCATTGTTTTGGACCATTATTTCTTATATAGAAATTCTGCTTAGGGGACCATTTTTTGGCAGAAACCCCGGTGTGATAACCATATGTCTTAAATATTTTCTAATTACATTATAATCATCATTATCATTATTATCATCATTGTTATCAAGTAACTTTTTGAACCTTTTGTTTTCTTTTATTTACCATTTCCTCAACCCCACAAATAAATAGGAAATAAAACAGGGTTAAAACCCTTTATTAAGTTTGTCAAACAGAAATTGTACACTCCAAGACTGTATTCAAGTTTCGGACACACATTACCCAACACGACTTGTGTTGGTTAATGTGTGGCCGAACTGGTATGCCAAGCGGTGGAAAGGAACGACTGGGACTTAGACTTCAACGGGGTCGAACAAACCAGTGGTCCATGCTTCCAATCACTGTCTGCAACGCAAATGTGGCCGCGTGTCTTATCCGTTGGTCAAGCCCATTTTCACTGAGGCAAAGACACCGCGTCAGCGCATTTGACAGCTCAACAACTAAGACAGCACACCGTGTCAGATGGGCGAGGCACTGACGAAGGGGCGCCAGGCATGTCACCCCCCACCCGCCCTCGCTGGCGACGATTCTGACGAAATGACATGCAAATTCACGGCGGACAGAACGATCGGTGTCGGCACTAGTACTCCAGACATTCAGTATGTGTGGTGTCCTCCTGAGAACGTAGGCGTATTCCATGGATGACGACTGTAGTGTTTCGCGGAGTGCTTCAAGAGCAACTCCTTGGGCGTAGACGCTATCAAAATGACAATGAGAAATTTAAGATCTGGATTGGTGGACAACACGCACTACAGATCCGGCAACCGTCGCTTATCCTCGACCTCCACACCAGTGACTGCGATACAGTCGCACAGTAATTTGAAATCCCACTGGTCCAGGTAAGCGTCGATGGCCAAATGCGTAAGCCGTGAAAGGCGGCTCGCAACTCCAACGATTTCGCGGAAGGCATCGATATTCTCCGCAATAAGGTCGATAACAGGAATGCAGCGTGATTCGCAAAAAGTTTCCAGGACGAACCACTGGTCATTGGGTCTACGAGGGGCTGACTCAGCTGAGAACACGGAACGAGGGTGGCAGTGACTCACACATCGTTCTGAGTGCGTAGAGCGTCAACACACGCGCGTAAAAATTCGCGCGGCGGCGCCACGCCCTCGTCACACATTCGCCCCACCAGCATAAAAGCGGGCATTTGCGCTTCATCCTGCCGGCGCAATAGGTCCTCAAAGACCAGACAGTCTTCGGGGGAGCGAACTGACTCGGCAAGAAGCGCCATTGTACTGCTCTTCACGGAATCGTGCCAACCCAGCCTTCGAATCAGCTCCTGGACAATCAAGGTCTTCGTGGGGGACGTAACCTGGGGTGAGCTACATCATCATGTTAGTATCTGAAAGAAATAAGACAGTGGGCCGCAAGGTGCACCCGAGATAGCTCAGAAACGCGTCCAGCATGTCCCGCGTCAGGTCGTGGTCCCCATGAGCAGCAATGAGCTTCTTCACCTCGCGGTCGTACATGAAGCGCATTAACGGCTTCGCTATGGCATGGATGTTGATGCTCGCACCCCCGCCAGCAGCGCTCCAGTTGCTGTGGATGCTCGGGATCGTCGCTGACCGCGCCAGCGGAGGCATGGGAGTTGGAGCTGGGAACTTGAAGATGGCTACCGACTCACTGCCTTACGCCACTGCCAGCTGTCAACATCGCATCTCGCGATGGGAGCGTCCTGGGAGCTTCTGAGGCCCATCGAATCTTTCTTTCCGTTGTTTGTGGATGAGGCGGAGTGCCAAGGTGAGGGGCCATCATGTGATTTTGAAGTACATACGATTCAGTCAAGTCTAAGGGTTAAGCTACAACTATTCCCTCATGGGCAATAATTTCAGTATTGCCCATGGTACTTTCTCTGAAAACACTACATAGTTAGGAATCTGCAAGTTGCCAACTAATATCGTCTATCCACGTCTAAATAATACACCACAAGTAAGCACTTCTAATCGTTTTTATTACCTCCACACTGATAGCCACAATCCTAAGTACCCAACAAACCGTCTCGCTCGCCCCTTTCCGCACCGACCCACCCCGCGCCAGCCAACGTCCGCCTTAACGCTCGCGGGAGGACAATTGCACCTGCATCTTCTCGAGGTGCTGCTCGCGACGGCGAAGTACTTGTCGTCCGTTCGCGACGTGTATTGGGAGGAGCGCTAGTGGGCGAGCCATCCGACACTACCCGCCGGCCCGTCACAAACGAATACGGGTCACTACCACTATCTGCGGGCGTCGGTGGCTGCACAGACGCTTTGAAGCCCTCTAAGTCGAAAGCGGGCCGCGCGCTGGATGTCCACCGCGTTTTTGGTGGAGATATTGGCGAAAAGGCCGATTTTCCGGCGGGTGCGGTGCGTGGAGCCAATGGAGGCGGTGCTGGCCGAAAGCCAGCCGAGTTGGAGTTCGAAGATGGGTAGGGATATGCCGATGTGGGAATTGGAGGCGGTGGTGGGAAGGAGCCCGTATCAAACGGCGATAGAATAGGCACAGGGCCTGAAGTAGACGCTCTTCGGGGCGGGAGCGGTGGTGGTCTTGCTGGCGGACTCGGATTGGGCCGCTGTTTGAACGGATTTGAAGGGGAGCGGCGAATAGTTGCGTCAACCGAAGGAGGGGGTGTTTTTGGCTCCGTTTGGGTAACAGCTCTGCGCAGGGGATGCACTGGGGGAGGAGTGGCGCTATTATTGCTATCTGTGATAGCCAACGCGGACAGCGACACCGAGTAAGCATGTCCTGATGTCCGACGCGCTGGTGTAGAGGCTGACGAGGCACGAGAGCCAATGCTAGATGCGCCAGAAGAGGTCGAAGCGCTATCAGAACCGGTAGGTCGGGAAGATGAGCGTGAGGGCAGCATGGGTCGAGTAGAAGCCTCTGGCGACGGCGCGGGAGTTGGTAGGCTAAAGAATGGGTTGGTAGTGTTGACCCTGGGCAACGACGGCGGGACAGGCGCTACAATATGATCAGAATCCCGAGCAACGCAAAGAGAACTGCAAACGCACCTTGCAAGAAGGCCATACTTCTGTCTACGCTCATTCCCGGCTGTTCTCGTGCGTGTAATGCCAGTCTCAAGGCAGCGGAAAAGGCCCCCGGTGTGAGCCTCGTCGCTGGCGCGAATAATCGAAGTATCTTGCTCGGTTCGTCAAGAATGGTCAATCGAGCGGGAAAAAAGACACACCTCGTCAACGACTCCGCTCCCAATCTCTGGATACCGCCCACACAGCCACGCACGAGCCTCCCGCAAGCTCACCTCCACCCTCGTCGCCTCCCAATCGATCGTGTTTTGCGGTAAGTCTGCGACCTCGCAGAAGCTTGCAGAGAATAGGGCGTGCTCAGCATCGCTGAGAGCAGACGAATGGAGCGTCAGCGCCCGGGAACGTGAGGTCGAGCGGGACATGTGGACCGAATGCAGACCCGGGAGGGAGGAAAGAAGCGAGGGAAGAGGGAAAAACGTGGAGCGAAGCCAACAAAACGCGCTTGATCGACCGTGCCGAATGCCGCACTAAGCGCGTCATCGATTACACGTGTCCTTGCGGGTTACAAATTTACTATGGCGGGTATGTGGTTGATCCATCTCCAAGTTGTAAGGATTGCGGTTATCATACTGATGTTATGTGGTTTCTTCTTTTGCCAAACATCAAGGTGCGGGAGATGATCTGCTGCCAATAGGGTTAGGCATCCTGATTCCTGAGTCCTGACGCGACATAAATATACCTTGGGTTGAGACCCTTTGTGGCCATATGCATCTTGTTCAAGCTCTGGTATATATGACCCACCTGCACTATAAGATCATATTCCGACTCAAGTTACTCAACATGGCTCAATAGGGCAGTAGGGAAAACACTGGGCAAATGGTAACTGGTTGGGCAAGACTTTATGCAAGTGAATACTGACCCATTTCATTCAATTCTGCCAGTCATGGTTGTAGCCAATTTCTTTTAGTCCCAAAGCATCTTAATCGGGAAGATTTTCAAATTTTCTGTGGTGTGCTGAATTTCCTAATCAGGTAATAGGTCACACAAATTTGGCCTCTGAATTGAATATATATTTAATGGTCACGGGTCACAGGCCACTGAATTGATTGAACTGGGTCAGTATATTATTGCTTGCAAAATCTTGCCCCAGGGTGTTCATAGCAAGGCAGGGCAGATTAAATTAAATATATTACACCATGATCTATGCCCCAAAGTGTGTCTGTCTATCTTGTCAATCTGATCTATCTCTCTTGCCTCTTGCTAGTGCTGGCCAGAATTATATTATGGGTGATTAAATATTGAATATCTTCAGAATATTATGAATATAGTATGCCCTTGGTAGATTACTTGAATATGATTATGTTTGAATATATTATATTATGACTTTACTATATCATAGTCACAGAATATTCAAATATAGTAAGACAGAAAAGATATTTCCCTTGTATAGAAAGAACCTGTTTCAGGAAAAAACTGAAATGTCAATTGAAAGTTCATCTTTTCAATACAGATTTGTATACCTATTTCTTTGTTGCAGAAAGGAAATATTTTCATTTTTTTTTCACAAAGAAGCTATTTATATTCATGTTTTCATATCAATGAAAATAACATCTTTATATCTTTTGCAGAAAGGACATCATTTGTTTCCCCTTTCATACAAGAACAAAGAGCATCTTTCTGAAAAAGTCAGAAAGATGATGTTTCCTTACCCCTTTCATGCAATCAAAAAGCACACCTTTCTCTTTGTCTTGAAAGATATTCTTTCTATCTGCTAACAAAGGTGCATATAAAGAAGACCTTTCTAAAAATGGCAGAAATATCGTCTTTTATACCACAAATAAAAAGAAATATAAACCACATATTTTTTTGAAATGAGTGAAAATATATTCTTTATAGTACACAGAAAGGGGTATTCAAAGCCATATGGAGAGGTTAGCTTTTCAATAACTTTTCCATCCCTGTGAAAGACATTCTTTTTGTTCTCACAGAAAGCTTGATAAAGAAGAGTCATTTATGAAATAATTAATATATCATATTTCTTGGTTGAGGAAACATGTATCTAAATATGTACATTCAATACATGTTTAAATGGGAAAAGAAATTTTTTGAATTTCCCGTGTGAGTAGGAACAAGTGTCAGGAGTGATCACCTTGGGTTGACCTACTAAACGTAGTGTAGAACCCCTGATCAAGTGTCTACTGGCCAACCTTGTAAGGGCAACCCTGGAGGCCTGGAGATCAGAGTCCTAGCAGGGGAGGATCCAAAGAGAAGAAACTCTAAGGGTTTGTCTGCTAGGTAGCTGACTATATACTGTGCGTCTGATGTGCCAAGGATGATCATTGCTCTGAGCAGAAGGCCTGTGCGGTGTCACAGGCCTTGTCCCAAGGTGACCGTTGGGAGGGTGTTGATGGATCTGAATGGGGAGTTCCCCTGACAAACCTAATCAAAACCTAATACTAGTGGCAATGCCCCTGATTGTATTTTGAGAGTCCTATATATCCAAGGCTGGAATTAGAGAGGCCCAAAAGGAAGTTGCCCTGACAATCCAGCATGTATCTTATGTTTTTAATTTCCGTTTTCTAGCAGCAAATATGCCATATGCATACTAGGTTATAGTTGAATATATTTATTTATAACATATTCATATTTTGCAGCTGAATATGATTGTACTATACTACAAATATATTATTGTGTTGGAGCTCTGAATATAATATGATTATAATATTTGGCCAGCACTAGTACTACCTCTTGCCACCTCTGCTGCTGGTCCAATGGCCCACAAGACTGAGTGGCAGCATGCAGACACTGATGAAATCTATCTATAATTGGATTATGAAGGTCCTGGAGGCCTTCCAGGAGCTTGCAAATGCAAACTGCTGTTTGCCATCTGCACAAGCATTGCCCCTGGTGTTATGGAGTTTCACCAGCAACCTGAAGGGCTCATTAACAATGAGAAACCCCAGACTAGAAATAGATAGCAGGCCGTACACAAAAAGACGGCTCAAACAATTGCCGACATCCCACAACCGCGGCCAGGGTCGAACCGGCGGCGGCGGCAACGGGGAGCATCAGGGCGTCACCGTCACGAGTGACTGCTCTTTTGCGCTGCCTTCGATGAGGCCAGGAGGAAGAAATGCGTGGCGTATGGCGGCGCGACTCTCTATGCACGTACAGTGCACGACACGACATTAGGCCAGGAAAAGGCCCAACGGTACCGGTAGTGGCTCGCTGTGAGGATGGGAGACATGAGGAGGACGTCGGAGGTGTATGGGGTGCTTGGTGCGAACTGCTCATGGTGCGCGCTCAGGGCGTGCAGTACCAAAGACTTCAAGCCGACTCGTCTCACGAAAAGGGGACAAAGTAACGATACGATGATTGTGAAGAAATGTACACAGACGATGTGAGTAAACTAGTACTGCCGAATTACCACTCTTACGCGCTCGACAAACGTATTAAAGAGAAATTAGTTGGAGATTAGGGGTTGGGTGCGGGGTGGGGGGCACTGGTCATCGTCGTCACCGCCGTTTTCCGGGCCGGGGTTGGGATCTTGCTCGCCGCCACCGTTACCGGGGTTGGGATCTTGCTCACCGCCACCGCCGTTCCCGGGGTTGGGATCTTGCTCACCGCCGCCGCCGTTGCCCGGATCGGGGTCCTGCTCACCCCCTCCGCCGCCGTTACCGGGGTCCGGGTCCTGCTCACCCCCTCCGCCGCCGTTACCGGGGTCCGGGTCCTGCTCTCCACCACCACCGTTGCCCGGATCGGGGTCCTGCTCTCCACCACCACCGTTGCCGGGGTCTGGGTCTTGTTCACCGCCGCCTCCACCGTTGCCGGGGTCGGGGTCTTGCTCGCCTCCACCACCGCCATTGCCCGGGTCGGGGTCTTGCTCGCCCCCACCACCGCCATTGCCAGGATCGGGATCTTGCTCGCCGCCGCCTCCGCCATTGCCTGGGTCGGGATCTTGTTCGCCACCACCACCGCCATTGCCGGGATCGGGATCTTGCTCGCCGCCACCGCCGCCGTTGCCCGGATCGGGGTCTTGCTCGCCACCCCCACCGCCGTTACCCGGGTCGGGGTCTTGCTCACCGCCACCACCATTGCCCGGATCGGGGTCTTGTTCGCCACCGCCGCCGTTGCCGGGGTCCGGGTCTTGCCCATCGTCCCCGCCGCCGCCGCCGGGCTGGGGGTCGTCCTCCTGGCGGGCCATCACATGGGCGGAATACAGGGCGCGGCTGTCGGGCGCCCGGCGCGCAAGGCCGGTCTCGTCGTCGTCGCGCCGCCGAACTGCACCGGGGATTGCAGCCGCGAAGGCCCCAGGGAGGAGAAGCGTGGAGAGGAGGAGGGTGGGGCGCATGTTGTTGTTGTTTTGGGAGGCGCTGTGGGTTAAGCAAACGCGGGGATCATGATATTCCCCAGCGTTTATATGCGTCACGCCCCCCAGGAACCGTAACGCAGACAGACCCAAGTCGTCTGTTTGCGTCTTGTCGACATGGCCGGGTACGTCCACGCACTCCAGACTCGACAACGACACTGATCGTGTCACGGATGACTCCGATGAGGTCGCCATCGACCACATAAGCGGATCAAGACAGCGCGACATCAAGCGGACGCTCGCATCACGCAGCGGCGGAACGATATACCCTCCCGACGACCACATAGTCGGATCAGGACGCTGCGGCATCAAGCGGACTCGCGCAACACAATACTATTGCAACAGAATATACGTCCGGGCAACCGCTATCAATGGGGTTGTGATCTTAAACGGCCGCCATACCGACGCTCACGTCTGTGCGCGTCCGGCTGCAATTCGGGTGCTCGCCAGCGTAAGTTGTCGGCTTACTACATACTAACAGCACTGGCAATGGCATGCGAACTGCAGCGGGGACCGCCGGGAGCAGACGCGCGGAGAGCAGGCGTGGGGCGCATGTTGCTGTTGGTACACATTCGCCCGCGCTTATATGCACCCCCAGGAACCGCGGGCGTCCACGCTTCGCAGCACTCTGCAAACAACACCCGTTGCGATAATCGAATCAGGAAGCCACGGCATCAAGCGGCCTCGCGCATCACGGAGCGGGGGAACAATGGACACGCCGAGCCAACGCCGAGCTCCCCGTTCACCGGTGCAACCGGGGTTGTGATCTTGAACTGTTCGCTAGTGCAACGCTGTCGCCAGCGTGCGTTATCGGCTTGTTCCATAACAGCACGGGCGCCTCCGAGTTACCTGACACATATTACCCTTGAGTGGTGAGCTGCGTCCAGTTATCCACCGTGACCCCGCCGTTTTGGTACAATGCCACCAGTGGCCACAACGGCCCATGGGTCCCCCGCAATTGTCACTGCCGTCGCGACGTACGCACCGCAACAACTATCAACATTCCTATGTGCGAGTTGGTGCCCAGCCCCGGCCCGGCGCCAAGGATCGAAGGATCTGTACCCCTGTTGCACGGCACTCGCACTGTCAACCCTAGTGGCGGCCGGTGGCGGTGGCTAAATCAATCATTCGGGAACACAACGGAGTCACGGACTCCTGTAGCAGTCTGGCACCGGGAGGGACACTGTGCACGGCCCAGGGAAAGGACGCGCGCCGGGACACCAACGAGCTTTCTCCCCCGGACATAACCCGCACAACGCGGCGTGCGCAAGAACGCCAAGCGCGAAACGGAAAAGTTAAAAAGTTATGTAAACCTGTGATTGGAAGTGGTCCAAGTGGAACCGACACGCTGTCGTTGATCCGGAGGAGGGCGGACGCTGCGCACCGCGGGAGCTTTTGGTCGATTTTCCGGCAGCGCGTCATGACACATCACCATTACCCAATGATGCGTCCGATTCTGGATCCGATGAAGCAAGCGTTGAGCAAGCGGGTATTGAGTTGGTATTGAGTCTGGGGTGGCTGGGGCTGTGGGTATCAGCGGGTAGCAGGGTGTTGGCGTCAACTTGAACGAGCCGTGCGCGTAAGTTCGCGAACCGTGACAAGTTGCGAAGAAAGAAAAAAAAGCTTTCCCCGAATGGGCCAGCGCGGGCTCCCCGGGCGTATATAAGCGCTGGAGGCATGGCGTTGTTTGGTTCCCATCACCACTACTCAGGCTATGTTCCCCAAGATCTTCCTCGCCGCGCTTCTCCTCCCCGCCGTGATCGCCGGGGCCGTCCCCGGGGCCGGCCGCCTGCGGCGCCAGAACGACGAATGCACCAACATCGCGCCGCCCCCGGAGGAGACGTCCGATGCCCTGCCTCCCCCGCCTGAGCCGACCGACTTGCTCCCGCCCCCCGAGGACACCAACATCGCGCTGCCCCCCGAGCAGACCTCGGATGCCCTCCCGCCCCCGCCCGAGCCGACCGCGCTGCCCCCTCCCTCCGAGGACACCAACATCGCCCTACCCCCGGAGCAGACGTCGGATGCCGTGCCGTTCCCCGAGTCGACCGAAGTGCCCCGTCTCCCCGACGACACTGACTTCGAACGTCGCGCGGTCCACGCCGACGACTAGGCTGGAGCCGTTAACCCTAACTTGCAGTAAGTCCATCGCCTTCAAAGTATTCAAAGTTCTGAAGCATGCTGCAAGGAAGCCGCGGTTCTGTACATAAATGATATTAAATCGGACAAGTGTAGTACTCACAGTGTTGTGTACTATGGTCAAATCATTGTTGTTTATTTTGACCACTATGCTTTCCCATTTGGCAGTTCCTGTGTCCGGAGGGCTTTAGTGTCATGCCGCTAAGTCAGTGTTGTTTATAAGACCCAAGATAAGGGTCACTTCTGAATTAAAGGGTCTTAGATACTTATTTACGTGTGATTCTAAGGGTTTTTCTAAGGGTTATTTCCTCAAAAAAAAAAACTTAATTTCAACTATTTATTTATCAAAATTGTCACCAGAGCGTGCAAGAGCACCAGCATCTGGCTCCTTATGACTATGCTTGGCCTACAGAAGCTCTATTAAACACCCACCCTCTGTCAGTGCAGCCCAACAACAGTTGATGGCTGCCTCCATCACATTGGTCACACGAAGTCACACAGGTACCTTATCATTAGACCGCTTTATGTACTCCGTGTGGCTGGTCAACTAGACACTAGCCTGAGTAGGAAGCGGCGATAAAAGACAGGGACCAGAACACCTGCGAAGCCGAAGACTTGGAACGTTACTTTGACGTTACTTATTCACACTACTGAGGAGAAGTATTGAGGGTTATTTCGGTAACCACTGGGCCCTAAGCGCCTAAAAAGGCAATTTTTGTTCTGGCTGATGCCGGACTTGCCTTTTATAGTAATCCGGACACCTTGTACGGCGGACAGTTCGCATTACGCATTACATGTCATGGACAATTAATTAAAATAGTACACTATACTCAGAATATAATTGATTATTTTGGGCCCACTTATAATGCTCTAAATGCATGTCAATTAGCTGAGATTAGACTTTTTACCTATAGATGGTATCTAGAATGAGTGGTATTCATAGATGGTTCATATAAACCAAGGTGCGATCAAGCTATATTAATCACATGATCTGGTTAAATCCTGCCAACTTGACCAAATTTGCTTCTAACTGCTTCTAATTGACTGGAGAATAGCAACAGTTTTCATTCTCACATCTTAAATTTCTATAATAGGTGAAACATATATAAGATCATTGATTTGTGAGCAGCTGATGTGCCTGATACCATCAAAAATATGATATAAATATGACCCTGGCATAATGTAATTATAATCATAGTTATCCATAATCATATTTTCATGTATAATTATGGAGGAGGCATATTATAATCATATTTAATTGATTATACTCAAAATATAATCTGGCATAATATAATTGTGGACAGCACTATACAGTGGATTAACTAAGAACAGTGTCACAAATAGTCTTAGATTAGGCTTGTCTATGGTACTTGATGCAAAACCTTAGTTTTACAGCTTTGTATCCCAATTTTACAGCTTTTCTTACCAAATGAGGGCTTCTCTTATCTTATCATGGGAACATATTGGTAGGATCTGGAGGATCAGACAAAAAAATCCAGCAATTTAAAAGCCTGAAACCCCATAGCCAATTGTATGAAGACAAGTTACTTATTTCATGATCGTGATATCTCTTTTTCTGAATGTTGTTCAATTAAATTGATTAATTCTATGGGCCTGTTCCTAAGTCCCATCCCCATGACTCCCACCACGGAGAAGGGCCCTCCAAGTGTGATTTCTTCTACGTAGAAGACTGAGCATTAAAGCCGCAACGTTACGATCCGCACTTAGTGGTTGTGTTCCTAGCTCGAAGCGGCGGCGGCCGTGGTTATAACGGGGGGCCGTATCGGGCCGTATGCGCAGCGATTCCGACCCCTCAACACTTATTCGTTAGCATCTCTATAACAGGAATTCAAAGCCCGTCTCAAGCGTGTCTTAGACGGCCTCACAGCGCAGTCGACGTCCATACATCACGAACACATTGGGAAAAGTCCACGTTTCGAAGAGATATTACATCGCGCAGGGACGAAAGTGGAGTAAACATATGCGAAGAGAGACATTCGTCACTTCTGGATGAAGTTGAGACTGTGAACTGCGACTCGGTCTGAAGGTAGCAACGCACCATTGCGCCGACATGCGCTAGCGCGGGCCACAAGACAGTAGCGTTGGGGCAGGCGTCCGCAAGGAACTTTTGAGATCGGTAAGACGCGTATCGCGGGCAGTAATCGACCTACAAGTGAGAGAGACACTGCTGCGGGATTGGGGGTGGGCATCGACGTGGGGGGCTTGGCTTCAGAGGGTCGCCCGCACGGGCTATTTATCCTCTCCGATGGACACGCTTCACGGAGCTCGCACGAGCAGGGTCGCGCTGTCTCGCCTCCTCTTGACGCCAAACATATCTTCCAAGTGACAGCCGGAGGACGTCCACGCCTCCCACGGGAGCACGATCGTACGAGGCTGATGGTCGGAGATATTTCCTGGAAAGGCTATTTGCTTGACTGCCGCGCGCGGCTGAATAGCAGTTCATTGCGGTCCCATTCATACATTTCCCGTGGAATTGGCCCAGGGTGGAGTCCGTGGGCGGGAGCAACGGCCGAGACCCCTCGCGACACGGAGGGCGATAGGTTGGTGGTATCATAGACCGTGATGGCCAAGCGGAAATTGCAGTCCGAAGCGCAGTCGGACGTCACGGAAGAGCGTCATTTATCGGTTCCAGTGCGGCGAACAAGAGCATCGTGGACGCGGAATATGTGGGGGCGGTCGAGATGATTGTCCTGCGCGGGGTGTTTTTCATTGACCGGCCGAAGGGTGAGGGATAGCTGCAGCCGAAATACTTGGAACGTTGGACGCGGAGGTCAGAGTCGCTACTAGTAGGGTTTGTCGTCAAAGTCGTGCAGTGGCGGCTAGACGGAGAATCGCGACTGGATTCTCGACCCGGACCGCTGCGCTGCCTCTATTTCGGGAGAGGGCTTGAAGGATTGACAGATTACAGCGCCCGAAGACCAATCCAAAAACTCTGAAAGTCACTGACAACAGTCTCGACTGGCCGCACGCACAACTGTCGCCCAAATCTGCGCTTGGAATACTACGCATTGGTGCTGGCCATCAGAAAGTTGTTCCCCGACCGCGACAGTCGACGTTGATGCACAGGAAATACGTTGCCCGCCGGTGAGTGAAGGAGGGACCGGGCTGCACATCGATCGAGGATTGAAGGCTGGCCACCCAGGCTGCCACAGGGCATTGACGTTGCTTTTGACGTTGGGAAGGAAGAGTCCGTGGTGCCCATGACGACTTTTCGGGCGTAGGTTAATCTATTCTAGTAGCTGGAAAGACGGCGTGCGTGTTGGGAAGGTGAGCAGCATGCAGCATATGCATGACGTTAGAAATGAACTGCATCTAGGCCAGAAGTCGAAGTGTTCGTAGAGGCGAAGAGTCGTTGCCGGGCGTCCCTTCCCCTTCTCCCGGATATGCTCCTCGAAAGACGGCGAAGGATCCAAGTTTGCTGGTGAGGGTTTGCGGTAACAATTTTCGGATCAGTGATTTGCAAAAGAGCCAATGGCAGAAGTCCCTTCAACACCCGATTTGCTACGACTCTCTTCCGCGTTCTCCCGTGCCACGCTTGGCCACGACCACAACGCATGCTCCACACCACGCGGCAGCTGTGCGCAGACGGCAGCACTAGGAGCCTTTGCTTCGTCTTCCACGTTGCTCCGAATTATGGCTCCACACTTCGAGACCGTCAAGGTATGTCTATCCCCTTCTTCCCGGCGAGAACGAGCCTCACATGAATCGTTAGTCGTTTGCGGACGTCCCGATACAGCCAAAGGGCATCGACACGGATGACTTCCTTCTCGCATCCGATGGTCTTGTCGCCATGTTCGGTGTGGCGAGCGCTCATAGCTCTGTCGCTACTCATCCCTTTCGCCCACTGCAGATCTTCTTGGAGCTGGGGTTTTTTCTTTTGTGCAAGCAGACTTGAAGAGCAACATCGCGGTGCCCACCCCGTTCCACTCCTTCCCGCGCTTCCCGCTGACCGCCTTAAGGGTGTTCGCGAGCGCTTCGTGGGGCACTACACACAATCGACGTCGCTGGAAAAGCTGGTGGAGTACGAGCGGGAAGAAGGGGCGGGGAAACACGCCACGCAGTGCTTAGTGAGGCTTATACGGTGTGTCCATATCCCCCGTCACAGTCCAGTAGTAGCTCAATGTCCCTCCCTAGCGGTTTATGGTTTACCCAACTCGCTCTGCAAACCGCGCAAGCCGAGCATACTACCGCTCTCCACGCGTGCTTCCGCCGAGCGTATGACGTTGTCCTTCGACACCACCACACCTTTGTCGTTCGGTCGGTCGTGCAAGTGAGTCCCGCTTGTTGAAAATCCGGGGTAGAGCTCAAAGCTGTCTGGTGCAGGTGGCCATACGAGCTGTGCCCCGCCGCGACCACTTTTTCGGTCAACTGCGGCAAGGCGGCGACTCCGCGAACTTTGACGACGCGTTGGCGCGCTGGCTCGCGGGGCTGGACGCGCTCGTCTGCCACATGAAGGCGTTTTTGGCGGAGGGGGGGTATGGGAAGGTGTAGTGTAGCTGTGTAAGTGAACTGGGACGATTTCCTGCACAACATATACATCCAAGCCCTATTACTTCCCGCTTGCTCTTCTGCTCTGCGGCTCGCACCGTCCAATCGAGTTATCTTGCCATTCCGCTCCACCTTCGACCTCTTACTCCTGCCGCAGCTGTGTACCCGATTTCTGCAGATGCCATTTGTGGCTGACTTTCTGCAGACGTGCGGGCCTCCAATTCACCTCAAGGTTTGCTGGAATCCATCGACCCCGGCAACGGCGGTGGCGGTGAACAAGACCCCGACCCGGGCAACGGCGGCGGGGGCGAGCAAGACCCAGACCCGGGGCCCGGGCAACGTTGGCGGCGAGCAAGACCCCAACCTCGGGAACGGCGGCGGTGAGCAGGACCCCAACCCCGGAACCCCCGAAAACGGCGGCGGCAATGATAAGCAGTGCCCCCCACCCCGCCGCGGTGCACGGTACCTCTAATTTCTCTTTAATACCCTTGTCGCGCGCAGAAGATAGTAATTACCTAGTGTATCCACGTCGTCCGCTGCATATCTCTTTCTTCCCAACCATCGTATACTTTGTCCTATTTTCTTGTGGCAGTTCAGGGCAGCGCAGAGCACGGATCAGGGCTCGGGCTTCGGCGGGCCTGAGGCTCGGGCCTGGGAAATCCCAAGGCCCGACCTTGGGCTTCTGTTGTACCCATGCCGGGCCCGGGCTTAAAGCCTGAGGGCTCGGGCCGGGCCTGTCAAGGGCCCTGGGCTCGGGCTTGGGAATTCCACGGCCCAGGCCGGGCCCGAAATCGGGCTGGGCTCGGGCAGCCCGGCCCGGCGGAGCACTAGAGACGACTCGGCTTGAAGTCGTGGTTGGATACCGCACGCCCTGAGCGAGCGCCATGAGCAGTTCGATTCCGCGGACTCAACACCCACGCACCAAGCGCCTCTCCCATCCTGATTCCTCACAGCGAGCCACTACCGTTGAGCCTTTTTTGCCCTAGTGTCGTGTCGTACACTGCACGTGTATAGAGAGCCGCGCCGCCATACGCCGCGCGTTGCTTCCTCCTGGCCTCATCGAAGGCAGCGCAAAAGAGCAGTCACCGAGAGCAGTCACCCGTGACGGCGTGTGACGGTGACGCCCAGATGCTCTCCGTTGCCGCCGCCGCCGGTTCGACCCTGACCGCGGTTGTGGTATACCGGCAAATGTTCGAGCCGCCTTTTGGGCCCGTGTACGGCTTGGATGGTAGGGGCCGCAACCTAATCAGCATCAATTTTATGTATTCTGAGCAATTTTAGCCTGGTTTGGAAATTTTGATCTCTATGATGGTGGTCACATGACCGGCCTACCAACTCCCGCCCAAGGACCAAAATTCAAGTCAACCACATAGCGGACTCAATTAGGTAATATAAGCCTATTAGATTCTTCGGATACATGTCAGCTGCCCTATTTTCTAATGAGATTTAGTTGACCTAACTACTTTCTGAGAGCTTACCAAGCTTGTTAGACCATATAAGGACTTCCATTTACGCAGTGCTTCATTCCTAATTACAAATTATTATAGAATGAGAGGTCTGTAAGGGCATCACCAAGCTCATCCAAGGAGGGTACACTCCTGGGGTAACAGCTTGAACTATGGTGCTTGCATTGGTGCACCTACAACTTGTCTGATGTGAAGGAGAACAAATGGTTACTTTTTTCACCCAATATCTATTTTTTCTTAGTCTCGTGCCCACCTAACGTCTGGTGCATTTTGTTCGGCTAGATACAGTTGTTGTCCGTCTCAACATATCAATCTGCCAAGAACGCGTTACCCGCCGTGACTCCACGCGCTTCTGACAGCTCCCATCTTTGCAGCGCCAGTACTCAGTGGTCCACATCTCACAATGCCTGCTGTTGAATCGCGGCTTGATAGGCACCTTCACGCGGCTGCACACGCAACTCAGCAGCTGGAAGGTGCCCATCAAGCTGCGGTAAAAACTCGCGCTTATAACTCGACAGCCACACGAGACAAAATCACCACTGAGATTCAGACACGAACGGGACTGTCTCCCCATGCCTGACAGCTCGACGTGGGAGAAGTGCTGATACTCGGGCTGGACTACACGGTCATTGCAGCGACTGGAGTGGGGAAGAGCCTCCCATTTATAATTCCTGCGCTGGTGGACACGACAAAAATCATAGTCGTCATCTCCCCTCTCAACGCACTCGAGGCTGACCAGGCATGTTGCGGACTTCTTCTGTATTCATATAGCATGGGTGAAGTGACTAGAATTGTTCTTGCATTTTGCACCAAATTATTGGCAGTACAGCTGTCATCACCCCAACAGAGAGCATTGAGGAAGATTGGCATATCAAGACCTAGCTCTGTGAGTGTATCAAGCACTGCTAGGACTAGGGGAAGCATTCCATCTAGAGAAATCTGTGTGTCGTGCATCTGTGTTTCCTGTTGCTGATTAGCAATATTTTGGGCACCAATGTGGTCATCAAGTAGCTCTGGCATCACTAAATCAGTTTCCCAATCATCCTCTGAGTCCTCAGGGTCAGAGCCCGACTTATTGTCCAGCAGGAATGCAAGGTCGCGCATGGTCGACAGCAAGGCAAGATATGATTACTATCTACATATCATCGATCTACATCATGACACCGACATGGCGGTGACATGTCACCTAGCCGAACGAATTGCACCAGATCTTCTAGGGGTGATGTGTCGGAGTGATTTGGGTGACAGGACATCCCCAAATCACTGATACCATCGCCGGCACAGCCGGCTCACCCCAAGAAGATCTGGAGGCGAGATTAATTTTTTCTCTTTTTTTGCATGGTACCCTTGTTATTATGGCATAGCCCCAGCCTGTTTAGTCTAAACATATATATCAGAACATATGAACATATATCTATATGAATATATATCTATGTGAATATATTAGTGCTAGCATATGACCCATAATTTCTTTATTTCAAATTTGTTGAACAATTGAAATTTATTTATTTATTTGGGAAAGGACATTAGTGAAATATGTATGACCCAGAGACAAAATTTGAAAGAGGTAACCATTTGATCCTCAATATTAAGACTTACATCAATCATTCTTTGCTGCTCTTCCCGGACCCTCATCCACTTGTGTGTTCGCTGATCCTGCGTCCCGCCCCCGCGCTCCTTCCCTTCTTTCGCGCTGACCTCTGCTCATTGTGCTCAACATACATAGGCATAGAAACATTTTCTGGATAGAACTTCTATATACAGTCACAACGAAAATATAGTAGGCTTCCAAATCGGGTAGATATGTGACTTAGTACTCCAATTGTGTGACTGAGCGCGATAACCTTCATTTATGCCTCCACCGTGTTTGTTGACGTGTATGCGCGTTGTTGAGCCATGCCCCCCATGACACCGGGCCAGACTCACACCTATAGTGTTGCATCGCTCAAGTATGGTGAGACCCTCAAGACCATTGCTGCTGACCCATGCATGGGTGGCGCAAAGCCACACACCATCAGTGTCAATCTCAAGAGAGTGGCTGCGCATGGCGGGGACTTTGCATATAACGGGCGGAAGGGACAGTGCGGGAGGAAGAGACTGATCACGGAGGACGAGCTGCATGGTGTGGAGATGGCACTGGAGAACGGAGAGGTGGTGAATGGGGAGGATGTCCGATGCATGTTCTTTCCTGATGTTGCTGCACGCACGGTGCATAACAGTGGACTATTCTATTCATTCTGCTAAATCTCAGCTACAAGGTTTGAGAGAATCTGTCCCAGGTCGGACTCAGAGGCTTTGCACAGGGTCAAAAGCTGCCTCTGTCGGACATCCACATCCAGAAACATGGCTGCTTCTATGCTAAGTATCAGTCTTGGGCTAACGAGGGATACTTCAAGCAGTCCGTTGTCATGATCAACACGAATGAAACACAGTTGTTTCTCACTGTGGGAGATGGAAATCGATGGTGTCGGCGACATCTTGGCGAGAATGTACTCAACCCCAACTTTGTTCAGCAAGAGGAGCGGCATGGCAAGTATGGGACAAGCATTATGCTGTGGGGTGGTATCCATCCAGAGGGGGTAACAGAGCTCATCCACCCGTAGGTGTAAGATTTAGCCTAGGGTCTAGGAATAGCTAGAATAGCGGTAGCCTAAAACTCTAGGAAGACTTTTCCCAGCCAAGAAAGACTTTAGAAATGGGTTATTAATACATCAAATTGATAGATTTGATGCTAAAAATACTATATATAGCAATGCTAACTCCTTTTCTTCAGGCCGATGACCCGGTATATAGTAGGGAAGGCCTGTGTTCAGGATTATCCTAATTTTAGGGACTAGGAATACCTAGATTTCTAGGCTACCGCTATTCTAGCTATTCCTAGAGCTATTTAGCCTAAATATTACCACTACGGCTCACCGACACAATGCAATGGCCGCGAAAATCACCCAACCTCTCCCCCATAGAGAACTGTTGGGCCCAACTCAAGTGCGAAGTCAGGAAGCACTGCTGCGATACCACTGCCAAAACACACGATGACCTCTTCTCCATTGCCCAGGAGGTGTGGAAATCTCCTTGTTTTGTTCAGTACGCTATTCATTGCTATCACTCATTTCCCCGTTGCTTGCAAGCCCTAAAGGAGAATAATTTCTTGTACCTTTCCTAATGTACCCTACATACTTTCTTGGCTGTACCGTAGTATCTTGGTATAAAAATGCGAAATAGCGCTCATTTTGATGGCATTTTGGGTGGGAATCACAGATACCCGATTTGGAAGCCTACTATATTTTTGCTGTGACTGGAAATATCTTCTTCAATCCATGGTTATATCCATATCCGTATCCATGGATATGGGTACACAGCCACCACAGATACAGATACAGATAGAGTCCCACATACCAAAGGGTATATCCGTGCCACTCCCTAGTTGTGAGGCCGATAAGTAGTCATCCACAATCCATGTCATTACTGAGAGCTCAAACCAATCGAGTACTTAATATACCCTTCTCCTCCGATTCAGCACGCGGGATATGCACGAACAACGCTGCATATGCCTCCCGATCCTCAATCTCTGGACGCTCATTGTCTGCGTACAGAAACGACGACTTGGCGCAGTTGATCTGCGTGAGTGGCGTGACCCAGTGCGCATCCACACACGTGGCCCGCTTGCCATTCAGCACCTTCGAGAAATCGTCGGACCGGCTGGGCTGACGCGACTCGGACCGGCTGCGCTTCAGCGTCGGGGGCGTCACACTGACCGGGCACAGGATCTCCCCAGCCGAGAAAATCTTCCACGCAGCGCGCTGCCCATCCACAGGCTCGAAGTTATCGTCGACGTCGCTCATCGCAATCACGCGGTCGACCGCCACGTGATACAGCTCAGTTGCGCAGTCGTCGTCATTTGCCAACAGCTCTTCGGGTTCGACCTCGTACACGAGCCGGACAACCACCTCCATGCCGGCCGCCCGGGCCGCCGTCGCAATGCGCTTGTCCACGCCCCGCAGCAGCGGCACAACGTCGCGGAGGGACCTCTCGTCAGTCGGCGTGCACGGTATTGGATAGGCATGGGCCAGCCCAAAGCAGAGCATGCCGTCTGAATTCGGGGGGAAGAGGGCGGCAGCGAGCCGTCTCATCGCAAGCGCCATGTCGTCTTCCGCGGAGCTGAGCCCAGGGCCGCACATCGCTCTCTCGCCCCGCTGGACGGCAAACAGCTTGTAGCTCATTGTCACACGATGCCCGCTGTCGATGTGGTCCTGCGTCATCGCCGTGTCGTTGCGGTATGCAGCATACGCAATATGGGCCATTGCACCGCCAGTGACCAGGCCGCCCGCGGGGGAGACAGTCTCCGCTTCCGTTCCCCGTGTGAATGTCAGCGCCCCGCCGCTGTGGTGGGTTGGAAAGACAATGACTAGCGTCCCGATGTGTGCGTCGACGATGTCGGAGGGGCCCCAATGGATTGGTGGAGTTCCGGGAACTATGTAATCTGAAGTGAGGGACAGTCAAGTAGGCTAGCGCTTGACGCACCGTAAACATCGAGCCGGTCAAGCACAGCGCGAACCACTGCGTGTGGCTCTGCCTGCAGCATGTTGGGTGTGATGTCTGCGACGATGTCCTGCAAGACAGCGAGGTCGAGCCCATGCGAGAAGTGGCTGCGGTCCAGCGTTCGGTGTGGGGGGTCATCAAGCGAGTGTTCCGCCAGATACCCGAGGTCGACGTAAGAGTGGTGGAGGAAGTTCATGGCGTGCCAGCCTCTCGTGTTCTTGTGTGCCAGCTCCAGGTCGGGGCCCTTGACGGCGACGAGGCCGGACGTGTGGAGCACTGGCCGAGTGAGCGCTTGCTCAAGGTGCTGAAGAGTGTCCTGGATGTGAGAGGTCATGCTGGGTGGAAACAACAGTGGTGTAGTGAGTGACACGCGTACCACTGGCTTAATATATGTGTGGGTCCAGCAGTGGGGACGCGTCACCATCGGAGTCAGAGTACAAAAGAAGTAATTATTGTTTATTTCTAGATAAAGGTTGTCAGGGACAGAAAGTAGCATGCACACGCACCCACACGCGTCGGGTCTTCGGCGGGCAGCGCCAGCCAGCGAGAACGAGCATGCGATGGACGTCAAGGGAGAGCGACGAGCGTGGGACAAGAATCGGACACTCGGATGCGACGCCCGAAACACGTGCCGCTTATCAACCACGCTTCTTCTCCTCCCCCGCCCGCGCACCCGCCTCACTCTCCGCCTGCCCGGGACTCGCCGGTATCACGTGTCAGGCCTGGATAGGGCAAACCGCGTCTATCTACTATCCCTCCACAACGAACCCGCCTCCCGCACTTTGATGGCCCTCCACTATCAGCGCGCATCGATTCAGACGCCCAACAACTGTCGTCTATCGCGAAGGCTGCAGACCGATATCAGCAAGGTCAAATGTGGCTAAACGGCAAAAACACCGACCGTGCTGTCTGGGACGTCGTCAATGAGCAAGGCTCGGGCCACCGGCCAGCGTTGGTGCAATACCTGCAACACCCTTCCCCTTCTCAAAATGCGTCTCCCCCAGGTGATGGCTTGGACTGAACAAGTCAAGTCAGCATCAACAATGGGTTGGCGAAAATACCCACCTGAACGACTATGGCGCTTCTCTTCGCAACCGCGCTCGGCCCTGGCACATTTGGTGCGTTGACTAGCCCTCTTTCTTCAAGTCTTCGCCTTCGCAGGCAGTGTTCCGGTCACCCAGCCACACGGAGTAAATAAGTGGCACGACACTCAAGCCCTTCAGACACAGAAACGGGGCGATGCGGCAATGCCAACTGGGAAAACACATAAACCGCGATGATGTTTCAATAGTACAGGACAACGTGAGTAAAATACGCTTGTGCCAGCAGCTATTCAATACTAATAATTTATCGACAGAAACGTGGCTTCCTTGCAGGATGCCTCAGGACTGTTTGAATACTCTGAAGGCGATGGACTTACTTGGGGTCAACGGCTCCAGTCTAGTCGTCGGCGCGAACTCCGCGACGTTCGAAGGTGCCCAAGTCGGTCGGCTCCGGGGGAGGCAGCGTAATCCTGGTGCATTCGTCATCCTGGCGCCGCCTGCGGGCTGGTTCCCAGGTGCCGTAGGTGGTCTCGTCGGGAGGAAAAACTGTTGTCTCATCGGGGGGAGGAATATCGTCGGGAGGAGGGTCGACCTGGGTCTCCTCCGGCGGGGGCAGCGCAGTGTTGGTTTCGGAGTCGTCTTGGCGCCGCATCCGGGCTGCCCCGGGGACTGCACCGGCAATCACAACGGGGAGGAGAAGCGCGGTGAGGAGGATTTTGGGGAACATGGTAGTGTGGATGAGGACAGACGCCATGTTTCCAGCGTTTATATACGCCCCGGGAGCCCTCGTTGGGCCATTCGGAAAAAGTTTTTTTCTCTTGTCGTCTTCTTTCGCAACTTGTCACATTCAACGGCTCATTCCCGAGTTCAAGCCTACGTGCCCAGGACCCTATTACCCGCTACCCACAGCCCAGGCCTTCCCACCCCAGACTTGATACATCGGACGCACCACAAACTCATCAGTGGGGTAATGGCGATGTGTCATGGAGCGCGCCACAGGCCACATGCGCGCGCCGGAAAATCGAACAAAAGCACCCGCGGTATGCTTATGCGCAGCGTCCGCCCTCCTCCGGATCAACGACAGCCCGTCAGTTTCACTTTAACTTTTAACCTTTCGCTTTCCTTCTTGGCATTATTTCGCACGAGGCGCTAGCGTTGTGCGCATTATCATAACTTTTCAGGCCCTCGTCCGCTCGAGCCTGAGCCTGGGACGTGCAGGATCCTTGGCAGGACCAATGTGCCTCCGGCTGCTCGACTTCCACCGTCCGGCGTGTTCCCGAAAGATGAGTCGATTTCGTCACCGACCGCCACTGGCACTGACAGCGCTTCCGCAAACGCCGAGATGGTCGCGAAACGCCACACCCCGAGTCCGCCGTCGTGCGCATGCCGGCATTATCTGGTTCCTTGCGAGTGCAGGGCAACAGGGGTGCAGATCCTCCGATCATTGGTACCGGGCTAGTCTTCGTCACCAACTCAGCACTGACAGCACATAACAATGTTCATAGCTGTTCGTCGCGACGGCAGTGCGACGCATTGTGGTACGCGCCACAGTTGTGAATTCTTGTTGCTGAGGATACTGATAGCATGGTAACAAAACCACAGAATGGGCCATAGGTATTAGGTAACTCGAACTCGCCCGTTCTCCTGCTCTTCTGTCACAAGCCGATAGCTCACGCTGGCGAACACCTCAATTGCAGCCGCACGAGGACAAACGCGAGCGTGGAAGTTCAAGATCGCAACCCCGGTTGCACCGGGTGGACGGGGAGCTCGGAGTGTCAGTACTTATTGTTCTGCCGCTGCGTGATGCGGGAGTCCGCTTGATGCTGGGGCGTTTTGATCCAATTATCTCAACCATGACTGTTGAGTCTGGAGTGCGCTGAGAAGCGGGGACGTGGTTCCTGAGGGCGTATATAGACGCTGGCGAGCGACTGTGTGTCTCTCTTTATCCACCACATCGGATCCCCAAACAACGACAACATGCTCCCCACATTCCTCCTCTCCGCGCTTCTCCTCCCTGCGGTCTTCGCCGCTGCAGTCCCCGGTGCAGTTCGCAACGTCGACGAGACCGGTGTTGCGCGCCGGGCACCCGACAACCTCGCCCTGTCTTCCGTCCACCTGATGGCCCGCCAGGACGACGACCCCCAGCCCGGCGACGGGGACGGCTACCCTACCGAGCCGCCGCCCGGCCCCGGCCCCGGCCCCGGCGATTACCCTACATATCCCCCTCCTTCCGGCCCCGGCGATTACCCTACCTATCCCCCTCCTCCCGGCTACCCTACGGAGTGCCCCCCACACCGCAAGTGAAGAGCACGACAAGTGAGTTCTCTTGTTACATCGTCATCGAATGATTTTCATTGACGTGTGTTGCAAACAGTTCAATGAGCACGGCAAAGTTTCTCTTTAATGCATTTGTGGAGCGCATGAGAGTAGTAATTAGCCACTGCAGTTTAAACTTTACTCACATCGTGCGGCGCTGTTCATTTCTTCAGAATCATTGTCACTTTGTCCCATGTTGCGGCAGGCTTTTGAAATTTCATGGCAATGCATGCCCTGAGCCAGCAGTGCACCATCATGAGCGATTCGATTCGATTCGATTCCATACCCACGCACCAAGCACCCCATACCCGGTGTCCTATTTGATAAGCGGCACGTGTTTCGGGCTTCCAAGCCCGAACGTCCGGTTGCAGTCTCACGCTCCTTCTCTGTTCTTCTCCACCGCTGCCCGTCGACCGTCGCTTAAGGCCAGTCCGGAGGGGTAAGGGTGGATGGAGGCAGACACTCCCGGGCGGCCCGGTATGTGCTCTAGGCGATGGTGGTGAGTGGTATGCTTCAAATAAGACTTGTACTCACCCAGAAACTTGAAGCGCAGGTTAGCGCGCTAATCTTGAGCCGCGTGGTGCGAAGTATTTCTTTCCGCCCCCTCCCGGAGCCTGCGTAGGATTTAGCAGTTGTCCCAGCTAATAAACCCGCGCTCAAAAATGGCCAGTAACAAGCGTCGTTGTGGAACTAGAAGAAGAAGGTACTAGTAGTAATAAGCTATGCCTTGTCCATTGACGTCGCCGTGCTCACCGGATATTTCAGCTGCTAGCTTGTGGCTGAAGACTGCGGGATTTCTGAGGTAGACAGACGTCGCGCGTGCTTTGAGATATGATATAATTTCAACTAGCACTTGTCTAATACGACACGCCTGCCGTCTGCCACCACCTCGGCTCCTCCCACTCTGCCCAGCCACCCATCCATAGAAACGCCAGCTCGCCCTCGTCCGAATCCGCCACGACGACCCATCGCTCATCACAAACTACGACATCATACGTCCCGTCATCGTCGTCGTTGACCCAAAAAAAGTTCTGCATGTGGTCGTCACGCTCCTCGTCGCCCTGATTCAAGACTCGCTGCTCTCCCGGAAGACGAGTCGTCCGTGGGCGGAAGCGGCGCAGCACCTCGTGACACGGCAGTGTGGTCTCCATTGCGTATGCAAAGATGCCCACCGGGTGTGTAAGCTCGTCGATGGAGTCGGGAGCGAGGGACACAGTCGCGGAAATCAGCGGCATGACGGAGCTCGATTTGGCGTGTAGCACATCCCGCTCGGTGTCGGGCTCCTGCGGGCTATCCGGGAGGTCCATAACCGACAGAACCGGCCCGAAGTTGGCAAAAGCGGAGTTACGGGCCGGAGGCAGCAACGGCCCCTCCACATGCGCCACATTAAAGTCCAGCATCCGCACCGCACGACTGAGGCGGCTGGGAATTAGAATGCGCTCGCCATGAACGTGCCTGACTGCCATTAGCGAGACATTTGTAAGAAGAACCTGGCGTACCTCCACAAATACATGTCATTCTCCACCGACATCCTCGCCTCTCTTGGACCCCACTCTTCCCATTTAAGTTCGAGCTCTTGCTTATTTGCTTTCCACGCTTCGACCAGCCGGAGCACCGTCCGAATATGGAACACAAACCACACCCACCCGCCAGGGTCGTAGCGTATTCCGAGCGAGATCACTCGGCGGTCATTTGCCTGGTAGAATGGTGCGTCAGGTGGTGGACGGGCCATGTAAGCTCCGGAGACAAAGGACGCCGAAACGAGCCGGACACTATTCGTGCTGAGCTGGGGGAGGAGGAGCGTGGCGGCACAGACTGGCGCCGAGATGCCCGACTGGAGTTCGTCGGGGAGCACATATACCTTGATGGACCCGCCGTCAAGGGGTTCGGCGAAAGCGAGAAGGAAGAGGCGCGGGGAGAGCATTCGGCATTCGAGAACTTCCAGGGAGGCAGAATTCCAATCCAAGACACACATGCCCTTACGCCAGTCGAAGAGCACAAGACGCCGGCCACCCTGGAGGGACAGCGCAACGACGTCGTCGGCAACGGTGATCCAACTTTCATC